TAATAAGTATCAACTGTAACTGCAACATACTGCATAAACTATAAATACAGAACAATCATCAAATGTTTTTTTTCTAGGAGAATCTCCAAAGAGACTAGCTCTTAGTCTTATATTTTTATTGGAAGACTATGATCAGTTTCTCCCACTAACTCCAGCTCAAGTTATGGTAGCAGCTAGGTACAGAATAAGAGAGGTTATGAATACCAAATGACATGCTTGGTAAATAAATACTAGGAAACAAGCATCTTTGAAAACACCAAATGTCACATCAAGCATAGTGAATACTTTACTGGATTGCAATATTGGGATTAGCTGGGATGACACTGTGGCCAAGGGGCAATCACTGAAATATAAACTGAAAACGATCACCCAGAAAAAGACCCATTTGTGCCAACACTACAGTACCACCGAGTGCATTTTCAGTGTTAAGAGCTAACAAAAGTTTTGGAGAAAAGGACTACATTTAAAGCAATCCGGCAGATTATTAAAAACTCAAATAGATCTATTTTCTTTTAAAATAAAAGTTTGGAGGAATAACCTAATAAAATCTTGAATATTGGAAATAATTTTGGCAACATACATCTCTTTAGTTCATCAGACAACAACATAGCAATCAACCTACTTCCAAAAGCAAAAGATGGCTAATGTCATTTGGAAGTCAATTTCAAATTTGCAATAGTATGGAATAACATTGAGTCTTTGGTGGACTCTTCCTTACTCTAATTCTTTTTTTTTTTTTTTCCTTGAAAGATGCACTATAATTAAAAAAATAATTCATTCAGGTAAACTATATTCTTGTGTTATACAGGAGGTCATGCATCTAATTTAAGTGGTGAACTTGAGACTCATTAGACAGATAGTTAAAGAATTTGGAGAACATCTGTTTTTGACTACTACTGATTGCATAAAAATAATCAAAATCTAACAATTTCTTTATTAATACATTTTCTTCAGAGAAGCAACCTAATTGTATGAAATATTATTGCAGAACCAAAATACATAACACAACCTTGTAGTAAGTTCTTTAAGCAGCGTCGGTACTTCAACCTCGTGTTTGGTCACTATGCCGAATGAAGCTTTAAAGGCAATAGAATCTGATCCAGCAACATCAAAACCAACATCGTTGATTATCTGATTTCCTCTTCTACCACTGAGTGAAACATCTGATTTGTCTTCATAGTTGAGCAACTGGTAGGATGAAATACCTGAGTAAAAGAAGGTAACTGTTGTGTGATGAAGATCTGAGCATAGTATTTTTACAAAGCATTATATTCTTTTAACAGAATATTTTGATTGTTTGAAAACTATATAGAATAAATGTGAAGAAGAGAATGAAGTGTACTGTTCGTACTCCGCTATTCTGATGAAAAATTCACAGCTGTGTGTTGTTCTTATTTATCAGCATTACTACTGATGACTAATAGAAAGACAGTGTGCAGGAACTCAGGCATCTCTCTACTTATTTGGAGAACTGTGCCCATGCTCCCACATGGCATAAGCCTAAGCGTGAAATTATGATTAGGGCTGTTTCTACATTTCTATGTTTATCGTTATTCTCCTATATCACGAGAGGCAGGATAAACAGAATCTGTGTGTTCTGAGTGCATTGACAAAGGCTCTGAAACACAAAGGAAATGACATAGTGAAGACTGCATACAATGTGAAAATTCAGAATAAAGAGAAAGGTAACACAGCTGATACATCATGTCCTGGTACCTAACAACTCATAGGAAAGACTTGTTACATACAGGCAATTACAGGCAATTTTTCCTCCTTTCTAACTTGTAGAATTAAGTTTGTTGTTGTTGTGTTCTGATGGTTTTTTTTTTTTTTTTTTTTTTGGCCTTACATTTACATATTTCTTATGTAATACGTTAGGGAGTTCTTAAAATTTCTGGATTTAAGACAAGTTAACCTTACACTGATTTTAATTTTTGAAACACAGGTCTGCCAGTAACATTAATTTTGCCTTTTAGCTGTTACCTAGAAAATCTTGCCATGTTTCCATGTGTCCCTAGAGATTTTGGAGAGTACCAGTTTAATTTGAAGGAAAACAACAGATTAATTCTAATTCATTCAAACATTTCTGGTAATCTATTATACAACAACAGGATAGGTACCAAAACATTTTTATAATGCTTTCTTTATAACCTTAAACATGTTTCCAGTACACTAACAGAAAACTATTAGAACACATTGGTTGCCTGCCAAATTAATACAAAGAGGGCAGATAGATCAGGGAATTAGGCATCCAATTATTTTTTCTTATTCTTTGGAGCTTTTAGAACAAAGTGACATTAGGAAGTCACCTAGAATTAATCCTGTTTGTCTGTATCTTTAACAAAAAAGCCCGTTCTATATTTTTATAATGCTAAAAAGATTGCAATGCTTGTATTTGTCACAAAAAAAAGGAAATTCAATTACAGTTCTCTTTGTCCACATTAAAGGACAATACTTTATCCATATGACATCTAACCTTTACAGAAAAGATTTTGTGATGAGATTTCGCAACCTTTTCCTCTGCCTTCTTCAATGAGAATTTTTCTACCTTTTTTTTTTTTTTTTTTCTTCCATTCAGGACAAGCTTGCTGACTTGTCCTGAATGCAAGACGAATGGGATTTCTGTCATCTTGTTTGCATCCTGCAATCACTTCTCTGTGGGGTCAGCAGATAATTCTGTCTTCCTGCGCTGTTTTTTTTTGTAGAGTTTTTAGTTTATGTATTTGTAACGCAATTAATACCTTTATTAAAACATGCATAAGTAAAATTAAGCAATTAAATACTTTTCAGAAAAGCATATCATGTAGCTATAAATTGCCCAGACTCTTAAAAGGAATGTAAAATAAAATGCATGCAGTATAGCTCAATTTTTACATCTTCTACTTCTCAAGGAAACTTAAAACTTTCTGATTTTGCACTGAAAAGACAAACGCAGTTAAACTCTGTAAAATTTTTCTCATATTTAAAAACGTGGAAAAAAAAAGCTCATAGAAAACCTACTACTTGTTAGATTGCTGTCACCAAATGTTTCTGCTTATTCAAAGCACAGTTCAACACACAAGATCACTAAGATGAAACAGCTGCTAAGCTTTCGTCAGTGCTACATACTCCAATGTGAGTTTATAGGAGAATGGTGAAAATTAAAATCAAACGTTAAGTAGCAAATAATCAATATACATCAACATATCTATTGCGAGTTGTGAGAAAAAGACAACCCACAAGGCTCAACGGGATCTGTTAAAAAATAGGGTTTTTTTTAAATATAATTTTTTTTTTCAATTTTCCTGAAAGTCTTCTCTTTTTTAACCAGCCTGAAATACACTTTTTTTCCTGAGTATTTATTAAATGACTAAGCAAAATAATTTTATTACACATGTACTGAAGAACCATTATGCTACCTACACAGATGAAACCACAACAACTGGCACGTAATAATGGGGAAAAAATGGGAAAACATGCATTTTTCTGCTTTGAGGATAAATGGAAAACTTACCTGCAGAAATTTCTTTCTCCCCTTCAAGAATGTCTTTTAACGTGAAAGGTGTTGAAGCAAATTTAGATTTTTTCGAAAGCAAACATTTTCTTTTCTTAATCACAAGGCTGAGAGGTTGGTACTTATCAGCTTCACTGAGGCTGGGCACTGGCACTAGTCTTCCTCCGTCACCAACCTGTTTAACAAAGTTTTTGGTTGCAGCAGCAAACATATTACAACATTAGAAATGATAATAACAAAAAGCTCTGCCTCAAGTGTAACTTCCAGATCCAAAGCCCATGTTTTTCTTTGCAGTATTCTTCCAAACAAATTACTTGGAAAAAAAAAAAAAAAGCTACCAATTTTTATTTAGTTATTTATTTTCAATCAAACCATATTTTACTTGGAAAATACTCAACAGCATCTGAACTGCCCTGCTTCTAGGAGTATTGCTGAAAACCTTTCTCAAAGACCTCCAGCTAAGCTCTCTAGTTCTGCATAATTAATAATGCATTACCAGTGTAAACTGATAGGGAAATGCTTGTCCTTTCCACTGCAGTTTAATGCCACTGTCTGAAAATCAAAATTACAATCTTAGAATGAGAAGACCGCAGTTTCTGTGATCCTCAGCTTCCTGCCAGAAGTGACCGACATGTCGCTGCTTATTGCAGCCTTATTGCAGCCACATCTTGGCCTGTTTTGCCAGCAGCTGCAGGCAGAGCACTTCAGTCTCAGCTTTGTGGCAGCAGCAGTCCCGCTGCAGCAGTGTTTCCTTTCAGCAGCAGCTGCACAGCAGAACTCAAGCTCAGCCCAGCAGTCAGTGGCATGAGGTTCAGTGGTACCATCTCAGCCAAGTAAGGCTGAGGGCTATAGTTAACTTTCGGGACATCATTTTCTCCTCTCTTGGACTCCTCCACTTGCAGGCTCTACAGAGGGACTCTGACAGGCTGGATTGATGGGCTGAGACGAATGGGATGAAGTTCAGTAAGACCAAGTGCCCAGTCCTGCACTTTGGCCACAACAACCCATGTAATGGTGCAGGCTGGGGGCAGAGTGGCTGGAAAGCTGTGTGGAGGAAAAGGATCTGTGGGGTGTTGGTCAGTGCTTGGCTGAACACGAGCTGACAGTGTGCCCACGTGGCCAAGAAAGCCAGTGTCATCCTGGCTTGTGTCAGAAATAGCACAACCAGCAGCAGGAGGAAGGTGATCATCCCCCTGTACTCAGCTCTGGTGAGACCGCACCTTGAAGTGCTGTATTCAGTTTTCTACCCCTCACTACAGGAAAAGTGAGGCCCTGGAGTGCATCCAGAGAAGTGCAACGAAGCTGGTAAGGGGTCTGGAGCACAAGCCTTATGGGGGGCCTGCTGAGAGAGCTGGGATTGTTCAGTTTGGAGAAGAGGAGGCTCAAGAGTGACCTTATAGCTCTTTACTACCTGAAAGGAGGTTGTGGCAAGGTAGGGGTCAGCTTCTTCTCCCAGGTAATGGTGATAGGAAGAGAGGGAACGGCCTCAAGTTGCACCAGAGAACTTGAAAAATGTCTTCTAGAGAGATGGTGGAGTCAGCATCCCTGGAAATGTTTGAGAATCATGTAGATGTACTTAGGCTGAGCAGCAGCATTTTGCTCCAATTTCTCGGCACCCTCTAGAGCAAACAAGTCCCTATCATTCATATGCCACTCCACTAACAACAAAGAACAAACTCTGTGCTTATTTACTCAATCAAAACACATTAACAAAACTTGAAAGGCTATAAAGAGAAAAAATTCTAAGAAAATTCTAAAATTAAAATTGCCTGTTCCAATCCGATTTAGATTGATCTCATATCTTATAATAACTGCTCAACAGGACAATATTTCTTCTACAGGTTATTAATCTCAGCTAGCACTGTTTATTCAACATGCATTTTTATGTCTCTCACTTAGTGTGTGGCAACAGACCATACTCAGTATGATCCAACACTAATCCTGCAAAGAGCAGTTTTGCTGGATATGCTTGCATGGTACTCACCTTCCTTGTATTATTTTCATGCTACAGGTCAGAGAACTATGTTAGCTTTGCCATTTCAGAAAACGTTTACTAACTTTGCATGTCTAAGTGAAAACTAAGTTAAACTCTGGCAATGCTTCCCTCAAGAGAGTTAAGCCCACATCACTTTCATCACCAATTTCTTGGCATAGAAACAGGTGCAATTACTTAGCAGAACTCCTTAAGTACCTTTGAGCTATGTTACATATACCCACAGATCTTAAAAAAGAAAAAAAACAACTGGTGTAAATATTCAACATCTAAAAGCCAGTAAAATAAAATATTAGTGAAAAAATTCTTGGCAAATTTCAAAACTTCCCAGCAGATGGCATAAGCATTTCCCTAAAAATTGAGGGTCTCAGCAACACAGATCCTGTTACATTACCGAGGTAACAAAAATGACATCTATTGAAACCAACCATGGCCCTTGTTACATGAATTTATCATTTTATACTACATACCTATTTCTAAGCTTTAAAAGCTGCATTCATTCAAAGTGAACAGAGACTAGTTAATATCTAAAAATGGTTGAATTTCTGTTTTAACAAAAAAAATATTTTTTAAATTGTTGAATTTTATGTGAAGTCACATAAATGCATGGAACTGAAAATGTTATTATTTTCTGGGCCGTTTTACTTAATTAGCTTTATTGAACTTAATAAATACACTCCTGGATTATTGTGTTTTTCTTCCTAGAGATGGCTGAAGCTGCTAGAGTCTCACAGAGAGAAGAGGAGCCTCACGCAAAGAAAAAAGTATCTAAATAGGTGAAGAAAAAACTGTCTTAGTACCCAGCACTGGCACTAGAGAAACCCAGCAGGAAGGCTGGGCTTCCTTATGGGAACAAGAGTGCTGTCTATAATACCTCTATAGTTTGTAGATAAGTGGTGAAACAACATTTAAACATAACTATTATATATATGTATCAAGGAGCTCATGCTTATATCATGATATTATTGGCCACAGATGTACTTCTACTTCATAATCTAGTGGCTTTCCTATCGATTTAGATGCACAGGAGAGTGGTCCATGTAACATCAACACTCTGTAGTCTAAAAGTGGTTAAGCTTAGATTTGTTCTGTTTAAACTCACCCTGACAGTGGCTGAAGACTCTTAACAGTTCTGCTCTGCATTCTCATCAAGCTTGGTAAATTGTTAACATTCTTCCCACTTCATTGTGCTGGCTCTCCATTTTCTCTTATGGACAAATATTTTCTCTCTCTTCTTGAAGTGCTTTTATCCAAGCTGCCGTATGACACTCTGTAAGTAGAAGAGTTGTCCTCCTTGTTAGATGGGACTACTAGGCACTTAGTTCATGTCCTGGTCAGAAGAAGAACATGCTGTAATTTTGTTTTCTGCAAAGCTGACAGCTGCTCTAGGCACAGTTCCACAGGACTGCAGTGAGCATTCTGCTGCTCCTCTTGGATTTCCTATCCCTATGGGAATGCCCTTAAAGCAGTCGTGTAATGCACGATTCCATCTCTTTTGCTGTTCTAAGCACTTGTAGCATTGCTTGATTACTTTTTTTGCAAAGTGGAGCCTGTCTAGCAATTCTGTTGTATAAGCAAAAAAAAGTTTAATGCTGTGTCTCCGGAGCCCAGAGCTGATGCTGTGCCGAACTCTGATCCAGCAGTTTGCTGGACACTGCTGTCTCTTGATGTTATGCTCATAGAGACTGCTGCTCAGGGAACTGCCCGCACCATTTCAGGAAGAAGAGTGAGTTGAAAGCTTTCAGCAGATAACTGCATGTTGGATTTCTTTATTATCTAGTTTGAATGTGGTGAGACTTTAAATCAGTTCACAAATGCTGTTTCAGTTATGCAGTATAGTGGAACAATTAAATTAGCTATGGCAGTATTTTAATTTTGTGTAGACTATTAAGCTCTCAGTTTGGTAAAACAGTAAAAAACCATAGTCACTGCTTGTGTATCTGAAACTTAATTAGTTCATTATGGGGACCTCTCTAGGCAGCATGATAAATTGACCATATCAAAGTTACAGAGCTCAGAAATTGAAGGCTGCAACTCTTAGGAAGCCTAGTCCTGAAATGTTTTAAATCCCCACATTTACAGTATGATTTACGTGTGGTGTCAGATCCTTTCGAATATTCCACAACAATCTATATTCCCAGGGGCAAAAAAAAAAATAAATTACTGAGAGGCCTAGAAATAGGCTTAGAAATAGATTTTAATAGACTGTCATGTGCTATGTGTATGGGACCTTTGTGTGTGAATGGTTTCTATACCAGCTAGAAAGGTTCTGAAACGAAAAACTACTTTTCAGATGTACAGCCCAGGTACTCTCTGAGAGCCTCCTTCTATGCTGTGTCACAGAACAGACTGCAGTAACGCACATTCATCGTCCATGCTGCAGTGCACACAGGATGAGTTCTCCTGCCAGGAGGGGCTGTACTGCAGCATGGCACTCGCCCAGCAATCAGTGCATTGAAGCTGACCTTTCCGTAAGCATTACATCAATGAGAGGCTGCAAGATGTGACGTTCAACTTACTTTCATATGGCTTCTGGTTGACCTCATCCCTCATTCACCTTTACACAAGCAGCTTCTGTTGACTGGATGGGAACACGCTGCATAGCTCTGGGTACCTCTTCACTGCCCTCCCATGAGAGCTGTGTTAGTGACGAGGAGGTAACATAGGGATCAGGGGGTGTATGTTCTGCTAGCAGTTCTGTCAGCTCACAGACTCACCCTCAGATCTGGATGCGAAAGCTACTTGAGCTGTGCTTCAAGCATACATATTTCAATAATACCATATTAAATGACCACTGCTGGTTGAAGCGTACAATATATCCCAACTTCTGCTTATCTCTAATTACCCTGATTTTATTGGCAATATTTGAATGGGCAGATGGCTGTGCTAGCTGCAAAGCATTTATTAGTGAGAAATGCAAAAGCAGTACTCCAGGGAGAGATTTGCTGAGAAAGCATGTTTGCATTTAAACCCATTAACTAAGAGGAGAGGCCACATCTTTCATTACATAAACAATACTGCATACAATGAGGCCCACTTTCATCATCCAAAATCATTAGGTTAGTGATGACAAATCTCTTAGAAACAGATTTCCCAGCATGATTTAATGCAGGCTTACCACTGCCTTTCCTTTGAGGGATGCTGCTCCATGGGTTAAACCTTTCAGCCAGCATCTGTGGGTGGGCACACTGCATTGGAGGACATCTCTGTGGCCTTGAAACTCAACCTCCGTGAGGACGTAGAACTGTAGCTGTGGTGTCACAACATTCAAAGAAAAACTACAAACCAAAGGATTTCCATGCTGTGATACAATTCAAACTAACTGTGCTTGTCTGCCAGATGGGCACCGGGGCAGTTAGCTCTCCACAACATTCCCTTCAGCACAGACATTGTGCTTCTTGTTATGCTTTCATCTCAGCAGCATTTATTTTTAGCATTGCTGCTGGCTGCACTGTGATTAACATCACTCCATGAAAGCCACTATATGCGGCTTTGGTAAGACATCATTTTCTCAAGTAGGATCCTGTAAAAACTAACTGGTACTGTAAAGTACTCTTAGATCTTTACATGGAGAGTATTTACGAACAGGTTAAATGATGTAGGTGTTTGTACGGCATGCAAGAATTCAGCATCCTCTTTCATAGCTACACCTGCTCTTACTTAGGTTGTTTCTTTTCATGCTACAAAAACACTTCCTCATCCAGTCTCTTTTTTTTTTTGTTCCCCCACATGTAGATGAGAGGATACCTGAGCAGTTTACAGATACTAAGCATTTACAGACAGATGACATAAAAAAAACCTCTTTACCACCAAACATAAGAAGCAGCCTAACTAATACTGTTGTACTGGGCTGGCTGATCAGCATTTAAGTGAAATGAGTTCCTGAAGTAGAACTGATTTGGTGTGTCCTTGTGTTGTCAGTGCAGTTTCTTTGACTAAGTGAAACGCCTCAGAAATACTGTACATAAAAGAAAATCCATACCTTAAATTTTATCAGAAACATCAACAAAAAACAACTGGAAGACAACTGAGATGTCCTTACCAGAATTTGCCATCCACTTACGGTCCAAGAAAAGGTCACTTTTTGAAAACGTTTCAGAGCAGAAAACTTGCTCAAGAATACTAAGGTAGTTGCAACATTTGAGCTACTAGTTAGTCTCATTTCTGCCCTGAGGGAGGAAATACACCCATGGCAGCCGGCATAGAGAAAAGAAACTAAGTATTTGATTTTGCTCTGGGTGTTTTCCATGCAAAAAAAAAAAAAAAAAAAAAAAAAAAAGATAGGTCAGGCATTAATTAAAAACAGGTAAAAATGTCTTCACACCACATTCATGCCTGTAACATACTTTAACCCATACTGTATTAACTTGCCCTTAATTCTTGTTATATTTACCCTTAATAAAAAGCATGGGACATAGATACGTGCCACAGAACCCAATCTCTCTCTTGACTACTCAGCCTAACGGTTATATAACACAATATTTTCTGACCTTGCATAAAATTAGACACACCACCCAGTATAAATAAACTACAGGATACGTTCTCAGCTAGCCCACAGTATTTCATTGGTTTTGAACGATACTTTACTAAATAAGATTGAAAGAAAAAAGATAATGATTACTTAATAGGAAAAATATTTTTACATACGCAGTGCAAAAACAGTCATTATTACATACTTATGGTTTTTAACATTTAGAAAGTCTTAAATACGTAATCTAACAGTGACTTGGAGAACCATGAGTCTTGATATGTTGTTTGGGCAAAAATGCTGTGCATCATTCCCTCAGAACAGATTTTGTAGCAGCAGTGCTGCTGGGAGCAGCTTTCTGTGGGCAACTCTTCAGCTGAGTCAGGCTGAAATCCTGTCGATAACTTCCTACACTGTCTCCCTTCACCACATCACCACGCCTACGTGTTTGTGGTGAAGGACTATCATCTGTCTCTTGATCAGATTAAATTTAAGTATAAAGTTAACTTCCATGCTCAAGGAATAGTTTTTCTGCCCAGTTAGATGCAAAGAAGAGAGAAGCAGACTGGCAGTGCTGACTCAGCCCTCTTGAGCTCTCCTTTCTTCTCAAAGGTTTCTTGTTTGTTTAACCAATTAAATAACAACGTGCAACTTTTCACATTTCACTTACAGCACTTTTGCTGAGCAAGTCACTGAAGAGAGGCTGGCTTGGCAAGGTATTCAGCAACAAAACACAGATCCCATCCACAGAAATGTGAAATCTGAACTATTCTTCTAAAAGAATCCTATAACTGAATTAGCTCTGGGTGCAACCAGGCTCAGAACATGTAAGGTTTGGATGACATCAGTTATACATTCTAGTGACAAGAAAAAAAAAAAAAAAACCTCATTAAAAAAATCTTTTCCCTTCTTTGCTGCTTCCAGGCAGGCAGCCTACCAGAATGCTTCAACACTTGCTCTCAGGAAACAACAAAAAAACCTTAGCTTCTCCTCCAAAACAAATAGCTGCTTTCAAAATGAAACGTAATTGATCTAAGGGCTGAACAACAGACAGGAACACATAATGAAAAATCTCACACAGTACTGTTTTTTCCAAGGAGATGCCAGAATGGGTAGGTGTCTAGTAACTTCTTTTCTCTCCTTTATTTCCACACCTCTTTTTTCAATTCTATTAGAGAACACCACGAACCCATTTACTCTACTCCCTCTCACACAACTTGAGAAACATACTTCGAGCTCCCTTTAATCACAAGGTGCAAGCTGACAAGACAAAAGTCATAGGGCTCTTACCAGCTGTAGCATAAAGATAAAACTGGGAACTGACAAACGGAAAATTATCTTCTTGGAGACTGCGGTTGGTAACCCTTGCCAGATTTAAAGGAACAGAGTTATGTGGCACAAACTTCTTCAGTGCTATTGATGCTGCTGCCACCTGCCTCTGCAAAATCAACCTGCACAACATATATTCAGGATTGTTACAATTAATAGTTTGCTTACCTGCTTACAAACAAGTCATTTGAAAGTCGTACTCCAAGGTGTTTCTTATGTCAATAATCAGAACGCAGATCACAGCAGCTTAAACAGTGTACATTGAGATTTATTAGAACAAGCACTAATAGCAGCAGTGTACAGAGTGATGGAGACAATGTACTGTATGCATTGAACAATAATAATTATACAATTGCACTTCTTCAGAGATCTGTTAGAAAATGCTTTTCAGTAAACAGTTTCCCAAATCTAGCATTGTTTGGATTTGCCTCTGAGGAAAAAAATACAAAAAATACGCTTTTTTTGGTAAGGCATTAGCAACATTCATTGGCAGGCTAAACAAGTCATTTGTACATGCATTATCCAATTACAATGCAACAGGTAAAAGAGCATCATGTTTCCTCAAAATCTAGAAATGCGTGTGTGTCTTGGACATGATATCCTGGTAAACCCGGTTCAGATGGAGGAAACAGATGACATCTTTTGTTACATTTTAGAGCACAACATAAACTACAGCATAGCCAAGTTCACTTTTATTTCCTACCAGAAGCTGTAGGACTTTCCTCAGTTGGAGTTGATATCATGGGTATTGTCTATACCACGTAAACCACTGGAGTGAACTCCCAATTAAATTCTCTTGTTTACTATTGTACCATCATCCCTTCCCTGAATCACATGGCAAACAGATGCTCCTGTTGCCAAGGAATCGCCACCAACACCCACTGCTGCATGAGCCTGTAATTTATTGCACAAGAGGTAGTCAGCACGAGGCCTCATCTGCATTCAGACATATTATAACAGCATGATCAAAACCAACTCACAAGTACAAAGACACAGGGCAAGTGCGTTGCAGCTGTACTACATGGGAACTTAAAACTGCCATCTCACTGCTCCTTCAAAGGTCAAACCTACTTGCTAGCCAGAAAGTTGCTAGAGAACTCAATATACTAAACAAATAGCAATTTTACTGATGTGCTAAAGCCTAATAGGAGAGGAAGGGAGGCACTTTCTCATGTTCATGCCTTCCATGGGCTGAGACTGGAAACATGCTCTTAGTTAGACACCCCTTCTCCACAGGTCAGAGAAAGTAGCCTTTCCCTACAACCAGCATGCAGTACCAGCAGCCCCTGCTCCAGGCTGGCACCAGCCTGTGGAGCACAGGCAAATGGAAAGGAATCACAAATATTCCTACAATTCAGCTTGCCAGAGTGAAACATAACATGATGAATTGTCATTGATCTGATCTCCTGCTCTTTCTCTCAAATGTCATACATAATTGATCTATGCAGAGACACATAATTGACTGATCCTTAAACACTGCACCAAAACGTGGTTCACAAACACAGTAGAGTCAAAATAAAGTTAAATATATTGCTCTGATTGGCAAGCAGTCAAACCAGCTGCATTTCACACATTGATCTTTCATGAGACAGTGCACACATTCAAAATTACGCTGAACACTCAGGCTTGACTATATAGTAGGCCTGACACCGCAATACATTCGAGCAGCTAGACCATCCACTTCTCTAGAAGTTCACTGAGGTCCATAGAATACCAATAGGAGCTCAGCCTCATCTGCACATATGCTTATTTGTCTGAGCACATAGGAATTAAAAATTAAGTGTTACAAAGCCTGGTGTAGCCAGGTATGTTGATTTCTTTCTGATGAGCCTTCTTATTTAAACATCTACATCTTTCTAACTGAATTCAATGAGACCACTTGCAAGGTGTACCTTAGGGACACACCGATGCCTGATCAGTCCAAGAAGGTGAAGCTACAAAAATTCTGGCATGCACATTACTGTTTAACTCTTGCATGTGAAATCAAAGTCTATTGAAATTACATCTTATCTATATTATTTCTCAATTGTTGGTGCTTGATAAATTTAAGTGCTTTTATAGGCATAATCATAGTCAGTATTTGGAGAACAGAATTAGGAAGATGTAAAGAATCATCATCCTGAAAGATCTCCCAAAATTGCAAATTGTCAAGAACAAATGAAGATGTATTTGCAGGATGGCAACCAAGATAAGGATTTAAAAAGAAATAAATAAATTACTCAATGTATGATGAAGGACTACATTTAAAGTTATAAAAATTGCAAGACTTTAAGTAGCTTTTACAGCTTTCAACATAAAGATTCGCACTTCAATTTTCTGAGTAATTTCAAAATTGCAGTACTGACTTCCTTTCCCCACTATCTTTTTCTCCTTCATCTCCTTATAGAAGTGAACTTCACAGCAAAAAATGAGGTGCGGTTTAACACTGCATTGCTCAAAAGTAGTGCTTTCCGCAACATTTTTGTAGCTGGAAGCACAAATACTTCTTGTTTTCTTTTTTTTTTTTTTTTTTTTCCTCCACGTAACACTTCTCTATTCCTTTCAAACAACAAATTTTTGTCTGGTGCATCAAGGTACACAGACCCTCCGCAGTTACAGTCGAGTCAAAATAAAGTCACAGTCTGCAGTACTTAAATATAGCAATGACTCTGTATGTTGGGTTTCCTAGAAAGCAACGATTTGCCTTTAAAATTCATCTTAAAAAAAAAAAAAAAAATTCTGAAAACATTTCTAACTAGCACAACAGTTTAACCACAGTAGAAAGACTCCAAGGACATCTGTTCACAAGGATATTACATAACGGTGTAAAAAAAAAAATCAGATTTTTTTTTTCCTCAAGTAGGTGCAGGGATATGGAAATTTAGCAAATAATGCCCTTCTAGCTATTCTTTTTACATTTTTGTTCACTGCTGCTGGGCTGCTTCCCGTTTGAAAGTAAATGCTGCTAAGAGTAATGAAGCTCAGAAAGCAATGTAAAATTGGCAGCTAATCTAATCCTTACTTCTCTAATAGCATTCTCAGTGTGAGCAATCTGCAAGTACTGGAATTCATTACAGCAAAAAAGTGCTATGTTATTTCCAATTTGTATCAACTGTGGAAAACAATGAGAGAAAATACACAGTTCTCTGTTGAAATGCTAAGAAATTATAATTATAATCATACAAAGGGCAATCGACACAGACCCAAATAAGAAAGCTTGCTACTGGTTACAACAAAGCAGATATTCCTAATCTCCTAATACAGAACTATCATCATGATCTCTCTGGATGCCACAGTAGTTTAATGTCTTCTCATAGGCTAAGCAAAGCATCTGCTCCAGTCAACTAGCAGTAACTGTTAAAGAGCAAGCAGTTCCTTACACATTTTACTGAAGGAAAAGAATTCAGACATCAAATGCTAACACCTTGCTTTCTCACTTACTACAGATACAAGTCAATACACAAAGGAAGATTCTCATCCAGGAAAACCCACTAACATTTCTTTTTGGTCCAAGCAAAATCTTAGTGGAAAAGTAAAAGACCTGAGCAAAATACACGCGAGAAGAACTATCCTTTGTCTGTGGAGCTGCAAACACCACTTCATTTTCAAAACTCAAACCTGATATGCAATTAGTCATTGGTAAGGAATGAATGTTTGAAAATAATTAGTCTACAAAAAGAACAGAGCTTTTGTTAATTATAGCAAAAGCTTAACTAAGCTATTAATTGCAATCTTTGCATTTACGCCTGCATACCAGAATATATTCATCAACATTTCTCAGTTCCTAGTCACGTCTTAGATGAGACTCAGCTGAATATAAAATTTATTCTGATGTGAATTTCTTATGATAAATGCAAGCCTCCAATGAATACCATCCACATTTCTTTGAAGAACGGAATACACCTAATTTCTAACCTTATGTTAGAATGATAATCTTCACCTTTAAGATGGGTGAAAACGCATATTTTAAATTTTTATGTACCATTTCATTATTGGTGATTTGATCTCCAAATATGTATGTTAAATATTAGGCAAATACAATGATATTTTTGTATCGCTTGATTTATTCAACATAGTTAAGAAACGTATCCTGAATTCTCCTTCACCCACAAAATACTGATGGGTTAATCTAAACTGAACTTTTAAATGCTATTGTAATATTCCTGTTGAAGTAAATTTCCAAAAGGTAGAGGACTATGAGACAAAGGAACAGACAATTACGAGAAAAGAAATCTGAATTTCCAGTCTGACTGCTTCTGACTGTTCTCAGTGGACATGAGAAACCAGCCCAACAGACTCCAGCTGCCAGAAATGCAATCACAAATAGTAAAACAGTTCCAGAAAAAAGATGTTGCATTTGTGGCTAAACTGACTGGCACAAGGAAGAATTGCTCTGTTTGAATATTTGTATAACACTTTTATCATGAGGATGCCTAGAGTACAAACAATTAAATCATCCACCTCCACCACTGTGAAAGACTGCTTACCTCTTCCCATTTTGCGTTCCTAATAGTTTGTGACAGCAAGATTATAGCTTAGCATAAGATATGCCTCATCCATGAACACAGATCATTAAATTAGCAGTAAACATGGAAATGTTTTTTTTTAGTGTTTCATGGGAGACAACATGTGGTTCATGGCTCCAGGGATATGAATAGGTATCCTTACTATTCATAGTTCAGGACAGAATATATTACACACTGCTGAGTGGTATATATATCCCAACTTTTTGATTTCCGTATTTATAAAATCTCTAACTCTTTGTCCATGTTACCAATATTACTTCAGACAAATATTGTCTACAGTCATTTTTATTTATAAATAGAATAAAATTTCTTTTTACCTTCAGAATCAATTCTGAGCAAATGTCACCAATCCTCCCTTTGCTCATACTGTCATGGAACACTAGAAAGAGAAATGGTATTAACAACCTGCCTGAAACAGATTTAACAGCTGCTATGACATTTTAATCTGCAGATGCTTGAATTTTTTCTGTTCTGCTACAAGGATGCCACTGACAGAACTGATGTCTCTGGTTCCACTGCTCTCCATTGTAGTCTCTCCCTTCTCAAGTTTGTCAGAGATCACAAGGGGAAAAAGACATGGTGGGTTTAATATTAGAAAAGAACTTGACAAAAGAGGGATGTACATATATATAAAACACCTAAGGATCAATTTCTGATGCTTTTTAAACTTGCAAGATGCCATATAGAAATTCCCTTAAGGAGATTTTTATAAAGAGGCTCCTCAAGTCAGTGGAAGAAGGATGGAATGTACACCAAGATACTCAACAAAAGGTTATATATGCTGAAGTTTAAATAACTTTTGTGATTAGACCCTTTACACTGCATAATACAAAAAATAAAATCAACTGCTGTAAATAAGCCTTTTCTTTGTTTTAACTTAATGAGATTTATAACATTCCTGTGGTGCCATACCCTGTTCTGAGGGAGTGCAAAGAGATTGTAGGGAGATATTCTCCTTATTAATAATTAAATTTTAATTAGCACAGTCTAGATTCTTCTCTCTAAAACAAACAAAAAAAAAAACCCAACAATTAAACAGGAACAAAAACGAACAGGAAAAAACACATCCTTTCTCCATGAAACTTATCTTCTGAGTGATACCAGAATCATAATAAAACAGAATCATAATAAAAAAATCAGGATTGATAAAGTAGAAAGTACAGAAATACAGAAATAGTATTATACTGAATGTTCCCTTAGAATTTTGAGCAGATTAACAACAACGAAAAAAATAGTTGCAACTGTATCTCTGACCACCTTGACTCCCAGCAATGTATGTTCAATTTTGAGGAGTGTTACTTAATGACATCCAAGATGAAAATGCTAGATAGCAGCCCCAATAGCTGCTCAGATAAGTAGTTAAGACATACCAATCTTTTAGCCTTCTCCAAGGAGTCTGTATAATACATGCTGACAGGTGAGGACGTTCCAGCGTTTGTTTTTTTTCCACACAATTCTGTGAATATCTTTTTCCCATAGCTGAACCAAACTCTCTTCAATATAACCCCTCAATTTCAGCATATGAATAAAAATACCCTTTTTCTTTAGATTTAATCTAAGAATTCTTCATTTGCTTTCATTTTGCAAATCCAGAATTAGTAGGGACAAATACAATGAAGTTAATTCCTCAGACTATTGCAGCCAACGGCATTTAAAACAGTCAATGCCCATTTATGCAGCAAACAATTCAAAATCCTATAAAACAAAGGCAACATACTAACCAAGCTTTGATAGCTAAAGGAAGGGTTTTTTTTTAAACTTGCAAAAGAAAACCCAGAATATCCAGCCCTCTCAGTTATTGTGCATTTGCAAGTGAAGCTCTCCTTCCTCCCAAACTATCCTAAAAATCCAATTTTGGGTGGGGAAAGGAACGCAATGAGCAGGAATGCATGGCTGGGGTGCAAATCCTCACATGGAAGGGCAGGACCAATGCTGGTAACATGTATGTCCTGCAGCATTTCACATCTGCCTGGCACCTGCTGTTCAAGCAAAACTCACAAATGTCATAAAAGCTCATTCAGATTCAGAAGTTCAAAATTAGGGGGAAAAAAATGATACAAAAAGGTGTGACTGTATTTGTAAGATGACCAGAGTATTATAGAACGATCTAACACAAAAATATTTACTTCATGCAACCTGCATCTAAAATTAGAATGAGTGCTGATGTGACATTTTAATCACAGTGATACTATGAAAATCAACTCATATTCAAATGTTATTTCCAGCAAGGTAACAGTTTCTAATAAGCAGGAAAATCTGCTATCTTGTTAATATGCATCTAATATAGGAATGTTGTTATTGAAGTCTTTGTAAGATCACACAGCTTTTGATGGACACAGCTATCATTGCCCTATCGTATCCACAGTATGAGAACAAGGAAGAAAATGAAGTACACTTTAAAGTATTAATTGACCGTACATTTCACTACTGCAGAACTGAAGCTTAAGGGCTGACTACTTTACACAGAAGTATTTAAAGAAAACAAGAGAAAAAGCAAGGGAAACATCTTTATATTGAAAGTTGAACTCCTGTTTCTAAAATGTGAAATGATTGACATTGATTTTCATCACAATAAATCTGCCGAGCAGGTAAGTACCTTTTATGCCCTTGTAAAGGAAATATTGCCCAGATGAATGGAACAAGGTGGGCTGGAAACTGCCCAAATCCTCAGGCTTGAAGGGACCAACCAGCAGCTAAGACCCTGCTGGCAGCCTGCAAAGAGGGGTCAATTTACAGTGCTCGTAGATGAATACCTCATCACCGACCTGGGCAAAGAAACATACCACAACCCAACACGTTGTCACAGTGTCCAATCAAGTTTGCAGGAAAAATTAATTTTTTTCACAGAGCACAGAGAATTCTGTACTGTAGGAAACAGCTAATGGCACACCTGCTGGCACTGTTAGGATTCTGATAAAGACAGAAAAAATCCTGCAACGCTTTGTAATTCCTCTAGTTACTAATTAACTAGTTTAACATTCAGTTAAATTAATACTCCATAGGTTCAAAGAGTGCCTTCAATAGAAAGATTTAGTGTACCATTTTTTTTAACTCTAAAAAAAATCAAATGCTAATTTTCTTACAATGAGTATCAGATAAACAATTGCAAAAGAATAATTAAGTGATAGCATCTTCAGTGTTAACCAAGCCTGCATTGCAAAGAATGGTATTCATGAAACACTATCAGAACACCGTAAAACTAAATACCTTTTCTTTTTTAATTTAAATACAGAAAAAACTCAAAAAACAAAGGAGGACGTAAGTTCTGTCCCTCAAATATACCTGCAGATATGCATACATAATACTTTCCAATGCTGCAGCAAACTGCACACAGAGACCGAAGCATGAGATGGGCAAATGCTTAATAGTATATTTCATTTTAAAAAGTGACCCAGTATAATCAATCACTATTTTGCACATAGCGTGCCAATTTGTTTTGTAGTATAACACCATTAGAGCAAGTATGTTGAAGTGAAACAAATACAATTAAAAAAACCCAGACCTTTATATATCTTAATTTTTTTGCAATAATAGATGTAGAACTCAAAAAAGAAGAAATCCAGTTCTGCTGAAGTAAAAAAGAAAATTACATTATTCATTAATTAAAATTTTCCTTTGGAAGAAATCCCGGTAATCTGCAGGTTTTTTTTTTTTTATACCAAGTATTCATAATTATTTAAAATTCAACTTAATATTTTATTCAGGTTTTCATGTTTCTTCCTGGTAAGATGAAGAAACTGGGATTCATTAGTAGCCAATTGTTCTGCTTTATAAACAAAGGGAAGAACTAAACGCATATTAAGTAATCAAACTGATGTCAGCTCTGCAAAAGCAAGAGGCAGGGGGAGGAATAGGTACATATTGTATTGCACTGACAGCTGTCCTTGTAGCATTTCTGGCAGTTACATAGTAATCAAACTTTTTTTTTTATAGGTCTCATTATTGGAATCAATTTTAAATAGGCAAAATTGTATGCATTATGTATGCTGTTTACATGCAGAAAGTAATACAGAGTCTATTTATGAAATCTAACCTGGCATCAGTAAGTGGATGTGTAATACACATATAAATGAAAAACTACACCATACCTTATGGAATGCACATTTTACCAAATAAAATTATGCTTTTTCTTTTAAAATCTGCCCTACTACTGTTCAGTGTTTCAGAGATTTTCATTCAGAAAGTGCCAAACCATCTCCTACATATATTTACTGAGGCTTAGCAATATGTAAGAGTCTTGGTTCTTAATCAAAAATATAGAGTCACTTTCAGAAAAACTGTAAAATATAATTTTGCACAAAAGCTATTTTGGCAACACGAGTAGCAGAAGGTAGCTACAAAGCACAGCAGCTTCTGCCCTACTCTCAAATATAAATTTAGATGCAATAAGTGGCTGGGGAAAGAACAGAGCCAGTAAACAGCATGTGTGGAAAAAACTATCACATTTCATTTATGGTACGATCCAACCTCTGGAGCGAAGCCAGAGACTTTCCCATGAAATCTTTCTGTGCTTTAACAGTGTTGCAAAGCTTCAGGGAATCCTAATTGCATAAGCAATTATAGGGAAATGAATTTGCTGCAAGACCATGTTCGCTCAGTGGTAAAAGCAACAAATGCATCTCAACATTAGCCACTTAAAATATGAATTTTCTGACTAGCCACTCATATGCATTTACCAAAATAGCCTCAATTTTAACTCGTTAGCAGCTTCTTTTTAGTCTGATTATACAGTCAGCTCCCAATAGCTAAAGCATGTACAGTAGATCTTGTTCCTCTGAAATACAGTTAGATGTTTGGCTGTCTTTTGATTTTAAATAATACAGGTCCTCCAATATTTATATCATGATAAAATCCTAGTGCTTTAAAAATCTGCCCTTCACACAAGCCTAAGCGTATATATTTTAAAATGACTTACTGTACATCTTGGTATTTCCTTTAAGGCATGAACAATGGCATATGAATGGGAACAGCTTTCAGAAAAGCATGTTTTGACAAGGCCCAGTCCAAGCACAGGACACCAAAGGACTAACCTGAAGCCAGAAATGACAGTGTGATGACTCAAAAGATTTTAACAAAAATAGTTGAAACAAAATGGATTTTTTTCTGTTTTTCTTCCTTTTTTTCTTTTAATTTAAATTACATTACTCTTAATGTCTGTTTAAAGCACCGATTGCAGTTTTGTATTTACCGCCTCCTCCAAGTGACTTTGGATAACTCATCTGCTTCTCTTCTGAATTTTCATTGTATGAAACTTCAAAAGGTTTTTATTTGTTCCTTTTTCTTTCTTTTTTTTTTTTTTCTTTTTTTTTTTTTTTTTAATGGCTGCTGCAAAATTAAAAAGATCCAGAAGTGGTCAGGGGCCTGGTCTAATGCACTTTCAAAAGTCCATTATAAAGATGAAAATAAATGCAAATGATAGGTTTTTCCATAGACCCACAAACCACACTTATCTATAAGAAACATATTGTGCATAGTTATTTTTTTTCTTCAGAGAGTTGATATGTTTACTAGATCTACATTCTCAGTTTACCAGAGTACAGGAATTTCTACTTTACTAAATCCCGGATCCTTTCGCAGTTCCCAGTAGGTTTCATTGGTAACCCAGGCTTCTCTTTGATTAGCATCAATAACTTTTCTATAGAAGATAAAAAGAGAGGGAAGTCTGATATCAAATTTCTTCTCCTATACAATATGCAATCAATAGCATATCTCTCTGATCTAACCATAACATTTCATTCATCACACATCAGGCCTTTTTCAGTCTCACCACTTTTGATTCTTCCTGGTGTTTGGAATAGGTATCTGTTGTTTCAAAAGACTGCTTAATTAAAAAAACTCCCTAAAAATTTAATTGTAATTGTGTATATATACATTTAAATCTACATTATATATCCGTGTGTGTGTACATACATTGTTTTTGTTTATTTACTTTACTTATTACTTTGTCTATGCAATGACTTACAATAACTTAGCTAAATCTTAGTTTCTAAGAGCTAACAATGATGAACGTTAACAGCTCCTAGAATGTTATACTTCTACCCCATTTTAAACTTCAAAAACTATTGGCTGTGTGGTGCAGTAATTCATTCAGTCACAGCACAGCAAAGGTTTACTACTGAAATGAAAAGACTCACTTAAAAAACTTGGGTACATATTCAATGCTGTTTTCTTCCATGTACCGCCTCCGACTTCTCTGGAGTTCTTCTATTCTTTGCTTCTCTGATGCTGCTGCTTCTATATTTCCTTCCTCTAGAAGCCTGTATGGATAACAGCTATCTTATAGCAATCATACTGTATCTGAACAAGGAATTTTCTAGGACTGTTCATCACAGAAGACTAGCAAAAACCATGCTCCTTGTCTTTGCTGTACCCTCTGTAAGATCTAATCATAACCTCAGAAAATGGGAGTGACTGATACTCGACTCCCCAGTTGCAGGTAACTGCCTTCCAGCCTTAGGCATACATTATCTCTAGTTACTTCAGTGTATCACAAACATTGAAGTAGTATAAACTGAGAATTAGGAGGGAATTCTCATTGCCTCCATTCACAGCTGCAGGGCATGACATTTCAGAGCATGTAATTCCAGCCTGTTATGAAGAATACTACCTTCAACTAGAAGACCTGTACAGTATACTAAGCATGCACCTTCAACTAGAAGGCTTGTGCAGTATACTAAGCAGGATGCTTTCTATTTTCCTTTCCTTCAATTGAGTGAAGCAGAAATTTGACTTCACTACTGAGTACCTTCAGAGCTAGGAGAATTCTCCAAGTCCAGACTGTGCACAGACAAAAACCAATACTCAGCCAAATGCACCCTTAAAATCACCAAATATTAAGTGCATAAATAAGCATTCTTGCCTTTGATCCGGCCTGAATCGTGCATCTGTTGTTGGAAGAAGATGTTTCAGTACAGGATCTAATTCATTGAGCTCAATAGCAAATCTTGTGAAGCCATAATACCGTTCATAGTTGGTTGGCATGGAGCCTGCATGTATATGCATGACAAAGAAAAACACGCTTTTTAAACTGCTAATATAAACATCCAAAATATTTATATATTTATTAAACTGTAAAAGCAAAAAAAATATTAAAATACTTTACTCTTATACACAATTAAAAAGTATCAAAAGGCATTCTCTAGATAGATCAACATGCGCTAAAATACTAATTTCAATTGCTTATCCTGTATAGGTTGTAATTACCTGCTAGTAGATTCAAAGCTTTCATGATCCTTCCTTTTGAAATAAAAATTACTGTTCTCAAGATTTCCAAGTGAAATAACTTCCTGTTCCCACGCTTTTCAGATGTGTATACAAAAGCCAATCCTAGCTAAATTGCTGTGTTAATTCTGGACTGTATACTCATGCAAAGTCTGACTGGGCACTGTCCTGAACCTTCAGCATTGATAGCCATCAGAGCATAGCAGGCACAAAACATTATCAATTAAGACAGATTCTGGATAATCACTCTTTACATATGAAAAATACTACATGTGCAAAGGAAGAGTAAATCAACGGTAGAATTTCTAAGCAAGCAATAACGAAGCTGAATTCAGCTTCTGAAATCACAAGAGCTCACTATCTCTGAAGACAAATCCTTTAGTTTAACAGAAGACTAAATTTGGTAAGATGGCCCCGCTCTCTTTGAGAAAGTAGTCATGCAGACCTAGATATCCAAATATTTTCTCAGTTTCATTTTTATGTTGTCTCCAGCACCCAAAAGGATTTGATAAGAAGTCAAACCAAGATGTAGACCGAGCCAAGTAGGAGATTTCCATTTATCTTCATTATAAACACCTGTAAAACCTTGTTCACTTGTTTAGCTAAAAACATATTCCCCCAGTAGCATTTCATGTACTTAAAATGATTGCTCAGAGTGCTTTACACAGTTTAGAAATATACCATGGTGCCTGCCAGAGTTTATCACAAGCTTCTTACCTGGCCTCCACACGCATTTGGCTGAAGGTGCTACACCACAATAAAGACCTTCATGCCACTTTCCAAAGAGGCGATGCACTACCTTCCCTTCTTGATCTATCACAACTCCCTGGACTTCATTTACATTTGAATTCCAGTAGTTTACCTGCAAGTTTTATAAGGAATTACTACTCAGTCACCACATCACTCACTGTGCCAATACCGACATTGCATGAATCTTAATGTGTCACCAACAGTCAAAATTTTACATCAGAATTGCTCACCAAGAATAATGTATTCAAAATTTGAATGATCTGAATATTAACTGTGTTAGTGTATGGGAAACCTTGAATGACTCGATAACCGGTTTTGGTATAAAAGGTATCTAAGTACAGTTAATTACTTGCTGTACACTGACCTGTTTTTATTTATGACCCTTGCCTGGTTATTAAAATAACAGGAGCGAAGGCATTACTGAAGCCAAAGAGATAAAAGTGGTGGCCAAGTTCTAGCAAACCCAGATGGCACAGAAGTCTATCCAGTGAGCTTGCATTTCCATTGTAATAAAAGAAATTTTGCTATTTCATTTTTAAATGATTTTCATTAAAATCAACAGCAGTATAGCACACAGCTGTACAGCAATGTAATATGCTGACAAAGTTGACCAGTTCAATAGAAGTACTGTTTGATAACAGTACTTTGATACAGTTCATACTGTTTGAAATAGCACTCTTATTTGATGATTTACATATTCACAAATGTCGATAAGTCAGAAGTGTCACATATTTCAGGAATATTGAAGAAACAGTTCTATACAAACTTAAGCCGTGCAGTGATATGCATTAGAATAAATGTGTTACCTTGACAAATGTGAGTTTACAAATACAAACGCTGCTTTTTGTGTTCCTGATTGTTATCTCTCCATAGTGTTCTATCCACCTCCTTCCACTAAGGATATTATGTATGCAAGTAGTGACTTTGTTCCAGACGTAGTAGTCTCCATACCTAAGAATAGATCAATAAGAGGTTAATAATGCAAATTAATCATGATCATCATGGAAAAAAAAAAAAAAAGTAAATCATTAACATAATTACCAGACTATATTCCTGAAAAACTTTTGTAACAATCGTTTATTTTATTAAAAGCATAAGTTCTGGGCATGTTATTAATCTTCCATGGAAAAGTTCACCTAAGCTCTAGTGTGAGAACTGAAGAATGACGCTACAAAATACAAATAAGACACTATGAATCACTGAAGTCCTGCAGAGCATATTCACTGTCCTCAGAGCATTATGTGCTTCGGCTTCAGTTCTAGGAGACCTGGATCCAAAGATCAGTATAAGGTTGGATTTAGGCCAGAGGCAGACAAAGCAATTAAATTACAGATAGAACTAAATATGGAAAGAAGAAAACAGAAGTGAAGTAGGCTCACTGGTACATTTTCTCTTTTCCTGTCAAAGCTACTTGGAGTAAGAGCACATCTGTTGTCAGAGATTAAAATGGGTGAATGAAGCACATTCTCCTACAGAGCTAAGGGCCGAACATGTAGACAGAAGACAAAGCTACTTCAGAATGCATTTACTTTGATTTGATGATATGATAAAGAGGTGGAATCCCTAAGGATGCCATATGTTACAGGCAGAAAGAAAGAAAGGTGTCCCCAATTCAAAGGATCAAGAACAGAGTATTGCAGAACCCGCAGGCATGCTTAAAGTATCCTCTCCTAGCATATCCTCATGGTTTACAACTTAAAACCAATTTTATTTGTATTGAAACTCTTTCCTTACACTATTTGTTTAAAATCAAACTGCATTTTTTGGCTTTCACATTTTGAAAATGACCTTCAAATATCAGTACTGGTTCTTCTGAGGCCATACTAGCAGTATTGAGAGCTTTAATATGGACAATGCTAGCTGGAAGTATTGTCAGCCTTGTTCTGAACAGCTGATCACTTCAGTGTCCCAACCTGCATGTACACACAAGAGATTTGAGCTACATACTAACCCACACAGTTCAATTCATGTGCCCTTTGCTTATCCTTCATCCAACCCAGTTACAAAGACATACAGATTAGACTAAATCAGAAAACAAAACGAAATAAAACAGTAGCTTACTTTGGAAGAGTCACATTCAAGGTTCCAACTGGAAGAATTTCCATTGATTTCCCCCAAAATTTGTTTTTCCACCTGATATCTGAATATAAAAGATTTACAAAACCAGGAAGACTCAATTCTCCCTCTTACAGGGATCTGCTGTACTACATCATTTACAATGGCATAGTATGAGGTTGTCATAAAATACAAAAAAAGAAAACGAACAACTAGAGAATGGTATTAGATCAGAAAAGATAAAGTTTCATTTTCTTCTAGAAGTTATACCTGTGCTGTGCTGTCAAATCTCTCCTGAGACTATTCAATATAAATTCAATGTATATGACAGTAGAGACAAAGAAATAAACATCTGCTTGTTCAACTTTGTAAAAAAAACAAACAAAAAAAACCAGCAGCTTGTGATTATAAGAAATAATTTTCTTGGTAAAAAACTTTTAAATGGAAATGTATAAACATGCTGCAAGTGACAAAATGTAACACATCTACTTACTCTTAGGAATGAGAATTTTGAGTGAATTAATTCAAAGCATCAGTTTTTAATGTCTTACTACAAACTTTAAGTATAAAACTTAAATAAATACAAAGCTCAGCTTCTACAAAGTTTTTACTTGCTAGTAAAAAAAAGTTCTGCACTTTTCAATTATAAATGTATACCTTGCCAAAACACAAAGTTCTTCGATTCACAGTGGCAGGCTGAAATGGGAGGATGGTGGCTAACCTGAAAAACAGCTTGTCTGAGTTAAAAAATAATTAATTTTCATTCCGAAAAACAATACAACTGTTACTGCAATATAAAAACAGTAAGCAGTCCACACTACTAACTTGTTTTGCTATGAAACCAGATGACAGTTTAAGCTTCAGTTTTACATTATCTGCTTAAAACACTACAACAGATTACTATAAAAACAGACACCTTCTAGTATTTAATGAGTTCACTTATACTTGCTACCTTTCTTTACTATTAAGAAAACATACCATTTTAACTCAAAAGAAGGAAGAAGATCACTCTGTTAAACAAAGAAACCTAAACATCAATACTCATCTAGAAACAAGCTTTACCTGCTCGGAAAAAAATCGAAATCCTTTGTCTTCTCTAATACATTCATAAGTTTCACCAAGCACAGGGTTAAACGGCTTGCTTCCTGCTCTGAAATACGTAGAGGCATAACCCGATGCTGCAAAAGCAGCTATGAGAACCTGTTGGAATACAGACAAGAACATAACAGAAAATAGGCTGAGATTCTTATAGTGTGGGATATCACATCGTAGAATTGTGGTACAATTTTTTTTCATGGTCTGTCAGTCTCTTCTCATAGGCCCCTAAAACAATCTGTACAAGACACTAATTTCCACCTTTGATCAGGCTTATCAACCAAGAGCTGCAACACAGACTCAGCCACCCACGCTGTTTGTGAATACTGGATGATAATTTTAAATGACAGGATCAATTCTCCCCCATTGAATTTTCCCCCATTGGTACCCATTTTATTTACTGCTAAACATGAAGAGCTCCTACTGAGGATGTCCTTCATGCTAAGGTATCTCACGATCTCCCGTGCATGGTCCACCCCCCTTATCTACCTGTACATTCCAACCTCTGAACAAGAGCCAGATGGAGTAATATGCTAACTGACATGCCACATTAATCCAGATTGCAGCTCCAGTTAGCAACTGCAGTTCAAGGAATCATGACAGGCACACAGATAACAAGCTCCTGGTTTTTCCAATAGCAGAGCAGAAAGCGGGCAACATTCACAGCACAGCCATCACTTATGGTCTGATCAGGGTAGTTCAGCATTTCTGTTTTCAAAAATTTCAGTTTTTGAAAGTGCCTCAGCTGGGGTGTGAAAACATAAGGTGTTTGTTAAGTTTGGCTTGTAACAGTTGCCCAGTAGTGCACTACATCTCAGTAGTAGATATGAGGACTTCAATTCAATTTAATTCAATTTCAGTTGCACCATCTTTCTCTTCCTGAACCTCTTCTGCCTCCTTTTCAAGCTCCTATCGTAAGACAGGTACAAATTCTTCAGAAGTAAGGAAAAAACTCTAGCATTTAGAATCCCTTGCTCTCTTCAGCCCACGTGAACAGGGCAGTTAATGGACCCGAGTACCTGGCCACGACAAAAAGACAGGCCATCTACTGCCAGGTACTTGCAGTGCTGTGAGGCTGTGCCAGGGAACAACAAATATGTTCAGCAACAGTGCTGCCAAGTCCCTTAACCACCTTTCCCTGTCTCCCATGAAGAAAAGACACAACATACACAAACATAAGAGCCAAATGCTGGCTGCTATCAGGTGAAAACCACAGACATACCTACAGGGCAGATGGACCTGACCAAGCAGGGAGTTCTGTGTAATGGAAGACCAATAGAGGGTCCTGTATGGACCTCCACAAAACAGTTTCCTTTTTAATACAGACATAAGAAGCGCTACACTAAATTTATTACCATGCGTTCATAAGGATCATCCGTTTCAGCAGCCTTGTCCAAGAGTTCACTATACTCCAACTCTTCACAAAGATGTTGCAAGGTGTTCAGAGGCTCATTTAGCTCAACTGGCATGGATACTTTGGAAAGATCTTTACCAATGTTATTTCTCAAAATATTCCATAGATTGATGTTACTGGTGTCAGGGCTGGGAGCTGGGAGACAAGTTCGCCGTCCATTCCTGAACGCTCCTCCAGTCAGTTCACCATTGACAACTGGGAAAGGAGAAAAGTATTATCACAACATAGCACCACATTAAGAAAAACAGTCTTGGTGACTGAACTAAATTCACCACCAGAAAAAATAAGCCCAGCTTTACTGATTTCAGCAAAGTTGGTCTTGTACACAGAAGTAGCAAATCACAAAATCGACATAATTTGCCAAAGTTCAAAATGTAGCAGTATACTTTGCCGAGAAATGTCTGCAACACTGGTGTTGTCCTCAGATATATTATCACTCACATCACTGATGTAAGATTCATCATCAGAAGCCTAAAACATAAATAAAATACCAATTAATTCAAATGTATATAAAGTTTACTAAAAAATTATACACACAATTACTTGAAACAAAAATATTCAAATATATAATCGGCACACAATTAGAGATCTCAACTATATCAACCAGAGATTTCAGTCAGCCATATTTCCAATGCACCAACATGCTCTCCTTATTGTTTCTGCATTGCTTATTATGAAGCCAAATACAGATATTACATTTACAAAAGGGTGACTCCAAATGAGATCAAAAGGACTAGAAGGTAACAGCATAACAAATAGGGGATAGGAGGTGAGAAGAGATGGTGAGACTTAAGTTTTTTCATACAGAATCAAACATTAAAATGTACATTTCAGCAGACACAAATACAAACACTGACCTATCATTTTGAAAAACAAGAACTATATCAGTGTTAAAACTACTTTTAAAAATTTTGTTCAAACTTCTTTTCTTAGAACAATAAAAAAATTGTTTATCTCTGTCTGTCTTGTGCACATCTCCAACGGGATGCTGAAGTGCCAATCTGTAAAATATTGCAGTTAGCTCAAATACCATGGGAAAGTTGAGGGCAGCCACATAATGCAGGGTCACCTTTGAGCTTCAATGAGACAATTTTTGACACTTGTCTACTTCTCTGACTACAGAGAATAACTTCAATATGATAGAACAACTTTGTTTTGTTTTATTTTTAATGAATACTTTAAAATCTAAATTAGTTGACCACATAGTCAGACCTAATTGCTGCAGTCATCTTTGCCTGAAACTGACACAGTCTACTAAGAACATGTAATGAACATGAATTATTGATACAACTTCCCAGCTCAGTTTTAAATTTCAGAGAACCTCTGCAGCCCATCACAAACGAGTCTCAGGCAAATTTATCTAAACCTTATGCGTTTTGATACCTTTTTATTCTAAATGGCATTAAAAAATAACCATTCACTAGTGACATCAATACTTGAATCTTTCTGACAGCAAAGCTGCAGTACACTATCATAGCCTACCTCATTTTCTGACGAGCTAGCAGACAAAAGCACCTCCTGTGCATCAAAGAACTCCGACACCGATTCAGACATAGAGAGCCTGCTCTCATTAGAAACTTGCTGAGACAACGGCAAACTGACATGAATTTGTTCACCCGTCTGTAAATAATGTAGAGAAATATAAATATTACTTCTAATAATAAAGAAATACGCATAAAAGTGGTAAATGAACTGAATATTTTTCTGTGTCACATATAGGAAAAGACAGTAGAGATAATATTTTAGTAGGGTTTCTCGTGTACTCAATAAGCGAGGCTGGAACAATTACAAAATAAAGTGCAATCTGAGCAGTGAGATACATGTCTTCATTTAAAGCCTGCTTCTAAGCTGCACCCGCTACTAATCTTCAGCAGTGAATAATTACAGAGCTAGTTCTATATGCAAAGGAATGCTTTGGTGGATAATAGCTGCACTGTGTCAAATGAGTTCAACTATGAAATTCAGATGAAAGATACCTCATCATAACAACTAACAGTACTTGGACCCAGCTCCAAAAACTCAATAAGGCTAGAGAGTTATACATTACCTTCAAAATACGTAGACTTGTTAACTAGTCTAGTAATGAATGTTTGAAAAGTTTGAATACCCAGAAAGATAGGCTACGTATTCCAAAATCTCATTTGAATTAAGTGATTAACACTGATTCACAATTACTAGCGGGAATTAATTCTCTATGGTTTATTTTAAAGAGAACTGCAAATGCAAGAATTCCCAAACTGTGCTCTGTGGATATCAATTCAGGGGCAAGCTAATTTAAATAGTTGAACATTTCTTCCTCTTCTTATTTGATGAGAGAAATGCCATGTTTCAGCATGTTACTCTACAAGCTTTTAAAAAGGAGGAACAAAATATTTAAGCTTCTCTCTCTCTCTGAATTATTCCACTAAAGCACCAGCTGCTGTGGAGGCAAACAGACTTCTTATTTAATCCCTTAATTTATACAGCATGTTTCTGGGATAATACAATGTGTTTGAAACACAGTTTCTTTTCATATTGGAATATTATCTCCATTAACATTACTCTGGAAGTCCTGCAAATGACTCTGTTGACACCTTCATCCTATTTCTATACAGGTGCCTCAAAATGCACTGACAATAAAAAAAAAGTCACAAACAAGCCAGGAGGTCAAAAATTCATCCTTTTTAACTGAGGTTTATAAGCTTGTGGATGATTTACGGTGTTTGAAGAATTATAATGGAAACAGCTCATTTCAGTGTTATGTTTACAAAAAGTAGTTAAAATTTTAAGTTTCTGTATCAACCCGAGGGACATGGAAAAATACAAACAAAAGATGCTCACTAAAGCGTATTCCATAAACTAAAGGTTATATTAACAAAAAAGAAAGAGAGACCTGGGATCCTCTTGGAAACTCTTTTTCAGTCAGACACACCTGTATGAAGATAACATATTAAAAAAGAAACAGCTAAGCAGCAAAAAATACAAAATGGAAGAGACAGTCATTGCTCAGAACTTCACTGTCAGCTGTTTCAACCACAGGTTGTCGTGCCCTGGCACTGTGCCACCTCCATCTTCTCTTTGTCAGTCTCCAGCATTCAAAAAATGGGATGTTTTGAAAAATCAAATAAAGTAACCAGAAACAGATTTTCACTTGCCTTTCTTCTTGGAAAAAAAAATAGGAAACCACAGTATGTTAATTGAAATGATGTATGCATAGAAAATAATGAATGGAAGTGACAGATGTAAAGTATTTCAGTAAAATACAAGCAGAATGGCTGTCAAAATGACAGTACTAACTGCAACATATTACAGGTCACAAATTCAGATGTGTCCTTCTCACAAGGGAGACTGATTTGTAACACATTTGATTATCCGTTGACTGAAGAAAGCAAGACATTTAGTATAGTGCTTGGTTCATGCACTGAACCCTTTGAACACTACTCAAGATATTAAACCTAATCACTTGCCATTAGACACTACACTACTCTATTGATTTGGCAAGAGACGATACAGAAATAGTTACCTACTGTGTTATTGTGTGTTACATTACAGTAAAACCTCATTAATTCCCACAAAGCTGCAATCCCTCCCTATTTCTCTGCAGAGAATGTAGTTCTTTCGTGAGCCCTGACATATGCAAAGACAAAAGTTCAAATTTTATGTAGAAAAAGTATGGTCTGAAAACATCTACAGATATCCAATTTCCAGCCTGAGAGATCTGATAATGTGTTTTAGCTATTAGTGAGGAACAGCAGGGTTTGATCATATTCTAAACCCATTAAAGGCTGAAGTCTTACCTCATCAGGGCTAGGGATAATATTTACACTGACAACCTGATCACAAATAACAGATTCTGAATGTATTCTGTTCAAGCGACTCCTTAGTTCAGCATTCTGGTTGAGAGCCTTAAAATAAAAATCGCACATTTTATTTACAAATTAAAAAAAGTGTTAAACAGCCAAAAAATATTTTTAAAAAAATCTTAATCTCAGAAACGTTGTAAAAAAAGTCACAGAACCCAATTTCTTTCATTTATAAGCAAATACCCATTTCAAGACCCCCTATAACATTATTTCGTCTTTTCACCAGCTTGCTATCAATTATTTTCTAGGGTCAGAGGGCACCGATACCTTCCCACAATTTAAGCTGCATTCTACCTTAATTCTTCAAGTAGCTCTTCAGTAGCTATGCCAGTAGCTTACGAAACTGCAGAGCAATGAAAAGGAACCAACAATTCTTGATTTACGGCTCAACAGCACTTTCTGAACGATAGTTGTCAACTCTTAGAGCCCACAGAAGGAAACTGCTTGCTTTTCAGGAGAAAACAACAAAAATGACTAGCATCACTGGACGTCTGCCTGTCCAGACCAAGCTGCTGTATTTGCATGTGTGTGCTCACAAAAAACTATGGACCACAAAATAAATTGATGCCAGTAAAATGTAAATGGTGCCGGGTATCTGCTAATCTTCCTCCTCCTTTAATGCCCAAGCTAGATTATAAACACGGGTGCATATACACATCGCGTGATGTCTAGAAGGACGTGACTGTTGTCACGTTGTGACATGTTTCAACATGTACATGCATGTTGAAATCCAAAAAAGCATAGTATGTTATACACCCAGAACATGAATTGACATAAACCTAATGTATCCCTCACACTGGGAATAACAGAACAGCAGACATACTGTTGTAGTGGGCAGTTATTGTTACCACAGTCACAATCTTTCTGCTCCTGTCCCTGGAACAGATTACATGATTGCACTGAAACAATGTAGGATCAAAGTAAAATAGGTTTTAACAGTCACTGAAGACAGTTTAAACTATGCCATTTTGCTTTGTTCTGAAATGACCTGGGCATGTTCACATGGAAGGGAAAATGTAAGGTAAGACCACTAACATCGATTGGGCTGTAGCTTCCTAAACTGCCAAAACCTGGTCAAGAGACTGACTATGCTAAACTTCCATTTACTGCCCATTGAGACAGTGAACTGATGAGTGACAGTGATTTTTAGACTGACACTGGAGGCCACGAATAAGAGGAACATACCACCATTTATTTTATACCAGCTGCTGGCAAGTTTCCGCAAGTCTTGGTTAAATTTGTATCAGTGACAATAAATGGTTACCATTATATTTTGGCCTTAATCTTTCTTTACTGCCATATGCAGTAATCAATCTATGTAACATCACACATCTATGTCTACAGAAGCATTATGCCTCAGTTTTAATTTCACAGCAAAAAAATACAACTCAGTAACAATAGTAATGCATGAAATTGTCTTCACTTTTGGGTCAAGTTCTATTTGCCCCTACACCTCTGCTGTCATTTCTTGCTTGCACAAGCTTTTCTAAATTGAAACACTGGAGTTGTTTTGCAACCTGAAAATACATCTCACAAAATGGTGTAGGGTACTCCACCAAAGCACTTACTGTTGCTCCATCTCTTCTGCCCAACTAAAGCCAATGACAAATTTTCCTTCAGCTTAAGTGGGAGAGACACTGGCCAATAACAGGTTCGGATTTGAAAATCCTGTTTACCCATGATTATTCTTTAACACATAATTCCTTTTGCAGTTGGAGACAAGGACATATAAAACAAATCTGAAAATACACAGTCAAAATTTAAAACTCAATTTAAAAAAAACTAGAGTATCTCTTAGAATGCGCTAGAGGTGGCGCCAAAAAAGATATCTATCATTCCCATAAAAATTGTTGATACTCTTGTTTTACCTTGGAAAACTATAATAAATACATGCTTACAAAAAGAAAAAAAGATATATATCCTCCACATGCACTGAGGTTGGACCTATGTTCTCATGTCCACAGCAGAATATATGCCATATTTCTGGTTAAGAACCTCGTTCTTTTGGCTTCCCCTACCTCAGGGAATAGCCAAAACAGAAACAGTGCATCTGGCAAATCAGCTGAGCTTGCAATCCAATCAAGAACATACCTGAGAAAGGGACTGTCTGAGGTGTGCTATTTGAGCATTGTGACCTGTAAGATCCTGTTCCGAGACGATCTGCTTAAGCTTCTCCTTCTCTATAGCTATGCTGTTGAAGGCAGACTTCAAAAGCGAATGCACTAAAGAAAAAAAAAAGATAACAAGTGTTTTCTCAGATATGGAAATACATATTTACATTTATTAAAATACTTTAGCAATAAAGACAGAGTGAGATTTCTATCCCACACATACAGAAATTTGAAATACAGGCCTGAATGAACTTCAAGTAATGTGTATCCAGATTAAGTACAGCCACTTGCTTCTTAGAGTTGCAACATATATACAATATGTTCACACCTTATTTAAGTATATTCTTGATGCTGAGTGAATGAAAAATTGTATATTTGGAAAATCTGTGTCTGAGGCTCTCTTTTTTCCTTTTTTTAATGTTTCAGGGTAATAAAATCTGAAGTTTGGCTAAGAAAAGACTTAATATTGCATCAATAACAAGGCTTACTTTGTCTTCAAATAGACTTTATTTTTTAAGTAGTGTCATATTTTTCCTGCATTTTTTACGTAACACATAGCAAACTGATTGCAAATACTATTTAAAAGCCTTTTTCAATCTGCAGAACCTTTTTTTTTTTTTGGCAATGCGGTGACATTTCTAAAGTACATTTTAGTAGTAAACATTACCTTCGTTGCATCGATAGACGCAGAGAATCTCTCACAAAAATTTGCACCCAGAAAGAAAAAAATCCCTGCACAAGGTTATGCATTAGTGACACTTTGATTTGTCTTTTGGAAGAGATAAAACCAAATGTTTCCAATATCAATCATGTATTTACACGGTGCAAAAACAAGTTCAAATTTTTTCTAAAGGAAAGCCCTCATTTGAGGGTTTACCTTTCTCCATATTCACAACATCCACACAAAATATATGAAGGATAATATACGTAATCTTTAAGTAAATCACCCGACCAGCTCTAAATTCTTTTCTGGTATCATCTAACACAGATGAACATCTTGGCCACGATAAAGTCAAGGTAATAACGAAACACAACAGAAAAGCACAGTAAAGTAAAGGTTTGACGTTTCTAGTTACCTTTTTGTGCCATCAGGCAGAATTCTTCTTGAAGCTTCATGTACTCTGTAGAGCACTCCAGAGGATCTGTTACATGGCTTGGGGGGGTCTGGAACTCGATATCTGCACAAAGGTTGGGATTGGACGAATGCAGCCGAACTGGGGACATTGTGGCACTGAAAGGGACCTACAGCAAGAAACAGTAAAGATGTATTGTTTAAGAAGCAAACCAACTTTTAAATTCCGTTGAAGCAAAATATAAATTATTCCTTCTGAAAAAAAAAAAAAGTGCTTGGTTGAAATGTGAAGAACAAACATGTAACTTTTTACTGTCCTAAATCACAGCACAGTTGATGCAGAATTCCTTGTAGTTCTTGAAAACTTTCACTGAAACAGACAAAAATAGCCTAAGTATTGAGCTAATTGCTAGCAGTAGAATACTCCAATTCTAACATTCACAAAAACTGGTCATTTCCTAATGCTTAAAAGACAACTAGAAAATTTAGCCACAACACACGCTTCCTTGTATATCGTTGTTGGAGTCCACATAGTATGAATCCATTTTTCGAGTACCAGCATGCAAGTTCCTCCACAGAGTAGAGATAGGATACTATTCTCAAATGTATCATGGAAAATTAATCTCCCTATCAATCTGAAAACCACTGTTACACCTGAAGTAGAAACCACTCTACACGCAACAATGAAAAGGGAAAATCATGTGGTCTTTCCATTTTCTATCAAATAAAAAAAAACCACAAATAAATGTTCACTTAATTTTCATTTGAAGTACAAGAGCTACAAATTAATGCATAGAGATGCAGTTAAGTAAAATGCAGTAAAGACTTCCGTTTATTAGTTTTCACTTTTTTCCTTCTACAGTTTCCAGTACAGTAAACAAAAATATAAGTGCGTACCTTATTTATAAGTTTTACATATAAATATATCACATGTACTGAATAGTTACCTATATGTTCCATAAGCAATGTATGTATGCTGCTTTACATGTGACGTGTGTGCGTGACAGTGCATTTTTATTTTACCATTTGCACATATTTGTATAAAAATCCAGTCAAGAACCTAATTTTCAAAACTAAATGAAAGGGGAATGCATGCAGAACTACATTTTTTTACTTCAGTATTAAGCATTGTTAAACAAATTCAAGTTTATTTTATCATATTGACCAAATGTATAAATCAAAAACTTCCATGCTGCAGCCCAGTGTAATTATTCAAATATGAAAAATGGAGGAAAAAAAAAGTGCCTTCTGAGACATGATTAAGAGTAGCAGATAAAATAAAAAGTCATATTACTAAGATAGATATATCTATATTTTTACATCAACAGATAAGTTACATACTGCCATCAGTATCTAAAATTGGTACCTTGTTATTTGATTACATTAAAGAATAGTTCTACCAATCCCTCCCTATAACGTTTGTCACCAATAACCATCTTAGGTTTCTCCCTTAAAATCCTACTGGACCTATTAACCACATCTTGAGCACATTCCGGCAATACCATTTTCGACCTTGCCCTTCAATTTCCATATACATATAACACAGACTAACCATTTCACAGCACCTAACCAGTGTAAACTTTATCCTCTTCTCTCATTGTTTTGATTTCTATTTATACAACAAAGTAGGTGTTTTTTTTTTACTTCCTTTTTGACTCATATCAAGATTTTGTTAACAGGGATATAGAATAAATTCCTTCTAGAGACAGCATTGCTGCCTCATACCTCAGCTGGCCAGGCTGAAAAGCAATGTTTTCTAGTGAAGTTTATTGAAAAAAAAGAACATTTTATTTTCAGTCCTAGAAACAGCATTCATATGCTCTACAATTACCGTCACACTGCTTGCAAGAAACACACACTGACATGTCAGAGACAAGTAGCTGCTTTGCTGACTGCTTTAGATACATGAACCAAAAATAATTAACTGTTGACTGATATGAACTCTCCACATCTGCATCTTGGAAGAGTTTCCAAGTTACTTTTCACAAACAATGGAAAAAAAAAAAAATCAACAGCAAAGAAATTCATTTTCTTGAAGAACCATCTATCTAAGAAGCAGTGCCTATGAACCTCTCCTCCCTTTTTTTCTTCTCTCATTGTAGTGCTTTCTCTTTACACTCATGGTGGTCTGATGCTGCCTTGATTACCTATTAGTTTTTCTATCTTTTTAAGTACATAGTTTCTTGATGCATCCCTCTAGTTTTTCTTCCTCATTTTTGAAGACATGATTTCAGGTACACCATGTCCTGACTTTCTGATTTATTCCAAGGGCTGAAATAACACTCATTCATTAGCCTCTTCAGAACTGCATGCTCACATAGAGACAGACTGTTCCCAGTACAGTGGGTTGTAACACAAGCCTTTCCCTTCTGCATTTTACCTGATGCAATTCTGTATCTTCCAGACTATAGAGACAGCAAACTGAGATGGGGGTTTATTTCTTTGCTACAATGGCAGAGAAGATAAGATCACCCAAATCAATATTTGACTGATATTCTGCATCTATACATGGCTTCAACTGATTACAAGGGATTAAGTTTAGAGAAGTTATTTTGGGTACTGGAGGAGCACTGATTTCTTTCATTTTTCAGGACGACCTAATAGTAAATGAGGTTCATGGTTCTGGCAACAGGGCTCAAGTTATTCAGGCTTAAGCAGAAGCCACATCTGAGCTAGTGGATTTCAGCTATAGGCTGGAGCAGCACACCTCCGAAAACTTTAGCTTGATGTTGACTGACTGAGCTAGGTAGAGGTATGTGTTTAAAGCTCATTTTATTCTTCAGTTGCACAGAGCTCTTTTTTTCTATATCTTTATGTCTTCCCCATCTGTTTCACTAATTCTTTGAGGGACTAATCTATATTGTGCATTCCTAATAATTGCCTTCCTGACAAAGCAGCAGCTGAAGGTATACTTACGATGCTAATTTAGTTTCATAAATAGCATCACCCACTCCTAGTTAGTAGCCTGCATGTTGATTTCAGAGCTCCAAATTGTGTGTCAAAGGCTTGGAGAATTAGCAAAAGTGAAAAACCAACACTAGCAATAGTAATATGACTTTTTTGGATCATGGAATGTAATTAAAGTACCTTAAATGAAAAGGCCAATCTTACATTACTAAAAAAAAAAACAAACAAAACACCAGGAAGTGTCATCATTTCTTGTTTGTTTGTGGCAAATCTCATTTTCACTGTCTTTCTATAGACCGTTATGAGAATCTTTTAACAAAATGTGATCATTTCAGTCCATTTTAAATAATATAAGCTATATTCAATAAATAATAAAGCTATTTTCAAACAGTGCAGGGCCCGAGTCTGTTCATCACTTGCAATTGCATAAAGGAAGAGGTACATTACCATGAAAACAAGCTCAGAACCCCAACTGTGATATCCACTTGTATCAGGCCTGATCACTTTTAAGTGACTTAGCTCAGAATGGGTAGCATGGACACCTCCATAAAGTGCAAGAACCAGCTTCGTAAGCCTATTATGCATTCAAGTTACACAGCTTCCCGTCTTTCAAGCTATGCCTTGATTTTTAAATCCACTCACTGTTGTAGCCACTGCAGCTGCTAGTCTCTGCCGGCGTCGTGTTGTGCTGAACTGGCCCTTCGGTGCCGGCCCTTCCTGACAGTGAATGCAAGAAGAGAAGGAAGTAGAGAAAGAGAAAGGAAGGGGTGATGGACAGAGGAAGATGAAAGGTGATCAGAAAAGGGAGAGGGAGAGTCTTTAAGTGGATTTCAATTTTGTTAACTCTTATGTCCTACACATTTTGAGAACATATCATATGTTCTCACCTGTGTATGCCAGAGACTTATATAGCTAGGTACTTCGCTAATGTTATCTCCAGAAGAGTTGGACTGCAGTGGACAAAAAAAGAAAAATTAATTCTATTAGCTTTGCTATTCAGAGTCATAATGCAATTATGGAATAAGAAAACAAAACAGATGCTATGGCGTGGAAGAAAACTTAAAACAAAAACTCCTTCACTTCACCACCTAGATGAATTCTGAAAGAGATCACTTGGCATCTGTGGAAGTGCATCAACTATGGTTACTGAAGATGCATGCATCTCAGTAGTAAAACATGTGAGTGTGTGCATTACAGGGAGCTTCCTTACATAAATACTCCTGTGCACATTTCTGGCATTTCTCTGTCCATACTTGGGTTTGCGTTTCATTTTCACCACATACCATCCTTTTGTGTTCTGTAAGATCCTATTTCTCATTCTATACATTACTGAAGGCTTAGCTTTCAAAGCAATTCAAAATCTCAGACAGAGTAGCACAAACGAAAACTAGGTGTTCCAACAACTGTGTCTTTTGCATGCCTAACATATGGCTTCATGCTGCATAACTTCATTTTTTACATTACTTATAACAAAATCCATCATGGTACATCAAAGTTGTGTATACGCTGCATGAAGTAGGCATGATGCAGAACAGCCCCATGCTTACCACAAAGCCCTTCTACTTAATACCTAACATCATATCGCTGTTTTGAAGTATTTGGATGAATTTATAACACTAAAAAAGCCACCTTATTATTATAGAAAAACATGTTCAATTCCTTTACATTCTTAATCTATATATGCATTTATAGCCATTTCAGTGTTTTAAATTCATATACATTTTTCTCTTTCTGAAAGCAACTTGGGTATCAAAGGAATAGCAATGGTACTCAGACACTAGGACATCATGGTGAAGAACAGTATAATGTAGTTTATTAGGAGGGGGCAGAATTTAAAGCTCTTTGTGCTCTACAAAAGTATGTCTACACTCTGAGAGTTCTGAACACACTATTACTGTTCAATAGAGACAAATTTATACATACATGTACATAGAGACGCACAAATGTATATATTTAGCACTTAAACTGCAAGATTCTGAATGCAGGTAGACATTACTAAAATTGAAACAAGGAGTTCCACGGAAGCACCACCCCCAAACACAACATAAAGCCAAGTAATTATCTGAGTTACAATTAATAACATGTCACTAAGTACTTATTTAATGCAAAGAGTAATAAACCAGGTTTAATTCATGATCTGGAAACCTCAGCAGAGCAAGCTGACTTTTCAAATCATTCTGTACTAAATAGTTCTGCTAAAAAAAAAAAATAAAATTCTCCTTCCATCTACCCTCGACTAAGTCTTGGAACTGTACTTCTGTGAGCACTGAAAGAAATTATATCAATGATAGTTCATTTTGCTGCTGTTCAGTACTATTTTTTTCTTCCTTTCAAGATCTTTGACAATCATGGGAATGTAAAATTGTTCTTTAACCAAAAGTCAGTTTTTGTACAAAAGAATGAATGCAGACTGATTAAGCTGTTGTTGTAAATTACTTTAAGACTTTTTAAAATAGACTTTTAAAAAATAAAATAAACCTCCCTTATATAAGCAACCCTTCTTCAGAGAAACAACCCAAGTGTTTTTCTCCTGAGAAAAGGCTTGTAAATTAAGCTGTTAATTCAGCAAAACTAAATCCCCAGTTCTAAAAAGCACATATATACATGCTATGATTCATTTTTCTCAGTGAAGCAACTCCACTTTTATCACGGAATTAACCACAGTAAGCAAAGTTATGTGCATACAGGACTGGTATACTTAAATGGCAAATAAACGTTTCTAAGAAACAAAGCAAGTAGAAGCAAGTAGACAAACTTGTCCTCACCATAAGAAGTACATTTAAAACTCTTCACAGACCTTGCACTCATATTCCAGGAATGCATTAGCAGGCACACAAAAGCTATCTTACTAACTCATTTTGAGTACAATAGGCATTAGATGGGAGAATTTTCTCATTGCATCTTACACAGTGGACACAGAGCTAGCAAAAATTACAGCATTGTTCCCTGCTATTCGTGAACAGAACACCTCATTTTCATGCTCTCTGGCTCTCAATCTCATACTGCAAAAGGTCCTTTTTTGATAATTAATAATTCCTTATTCTACAATCAATTGGTGCATATATTTCAAATGGAATTAATAGTCCATCTAGCTGGAAGTTAGTATGTTGTTATTAGTATTATCCCAAAAAACTAATGATATGTATGGAAGAAAGGGGAAAGGAATAGGGCAACAAAAGTTTTTTTGGCATCAAATCTCTCAACTATTTAATAGCAAACTATGTGTACTGTCCGTGAAGAAACAATCACAAATTAGACAGTGATTCAAAGCAGTGGATAATAGTTTATAAAGTGTTGGAGTAATCTTGAAAAAATTACCTATATGGAATGAAGCTAGAAAAAATGGTTAGTAGAAAAACACCACAGGAGAGCAAGCTTAAAAAAACAACTTCAACCTATGAGGAAATCCAGTGGAATAGCAGCATGAGCAAATTACGATTAACACAAGAGTCAGAACGAGACCATCTTCCACAGAGCACAGCTTTAGACCATTCCTGGGACAGAATAGTCCTTGGAATTAAAAAGAGTGTACCAAGCCAATCAAGTTAGTTAAGATAATAGAACAGCCAAAAAAAAAAAAATCTTCATCCTGTACATAATTTAGAATTGTTTTGTTGTTTCTGTCTTCCTGCAAATTAATTTGTCAGTCAGTCATCAATCATTTAATGCTTTGCTCTAATAAAATAAGCTTTTTATTTTCCAGCCCTACACTTGTCAGGAGTCAAAGCTGCCCCAAGTTAAGCAGAGTTCACTATCTCTCCAGCAATGGCAGACGAAAGTAGAGCAGTGCTAGGCATACAAACTCTCAGAGGAATCTGCAAAGTGACCCATAGCACCAACAGCATCCTGAGAATCAGGTGCCAAACTGAGTCTCCCACAGGAAGCCCAGCACAGTGTCACTTTGACAGGGCACAGGCAACTCAGGTATAGCTCACAATTCCTTGTGATCCTAGATCATCACGTATTGTTGCCTTAATAATTTATACTTTTTTTACTGAAGTTTCTTTAGACCACTGTGGTATGAAAGAAGAATGTGGGTTTTGCCTCTGCCTTTCCAAAAATGCTTGCATCCATTTCCCTGGTATTTTTAGTAGCCTACCATTATTCAGCAACAAGGAAACACAGTGATCTTCCACATGCAGGTAATAGGGTATGACATCAACCACCAAAATTCCCTTGTTAATAAAGCTTTTTACACCTAACAGATATTTCTTGGTTCAGCACGTTGTCCTTAATCTAGAATAACAGGTAGAAAGAAAAGTTACATACTACAGCTGCAATCCAAGTTTCTTTCCTTACAGTCTTCCTTCCTTAATAATGTCAGTCTTAAACGAGTCACAGAGAACTTCTTACTGTGTCTCTGAGTCACAGAAATTCCTTATTATGTCTCTGAGGAACACAGTAAAGGTTTCACAAGTCTGCATGAATTTCAAAGTATTTAAATTAATCAGAAGTTGCTGACATATTTATTCCACAGCAGACAGCACAGTGGTAATTGTTAGCTCCTGAAGTCTGTGAAGTACAGTCTTCATTAACAGTTGCTCAGTTATAAAAATAAAGCAGTTTTTGGATTAGGCTTCAAAACATGCAACTATTTCTGACAAAACACAGCAAGATTCCCTGGATCCAGAAGTGACATAGGGTTTCTATGTTTATTTCTGTGCTTTTTCTTTTCAGATCTAAGGCAGGATGATTTGTTTGTCAATTGTTATTTTTTTTTCATATGATTTATTCTTTGGTTTAATTCAATTTGTTTCCATAGTAGCCTGTTTCATAAGATAGGGCTCACTGGTAACATTCCTAGTACACGTTTTGACAAAGGCAACTGGCACGTTTAGTATTTCATTCATGTTTTCTGCTCTTAGTTTGACATCACCTGCATAACTGTCCCTCTCTTCTAGTTTAAGATGGAAATACCAGAATCTTTGTGTGCTGCATGCATATCGTCTTTTTTGCACCTTAACTGACTAGTGCTCAGCCTCTCTTCCTTTCCCTAGATGGCAACGTTTTCATATGAAAGTAAAATCAATACATTTTTCACTATCTTGTCTAGGTTTTAAACAACCAATTGAGATTTAATTTGCATCATCAGGAACATAAGAGACAGTACATTGAATTACTACTTTCAGTTAATATATCAGTTCATGCTTAAAAGTTAATCTAAAAGTACAGTGAAAAGGAAAACATTGTGGATTCAGTACCTGAAGTTGAATTTTTGCATCTTTGCTGACACTTTTTGTTCTCCATCGTCTTGTGACCCGCTTGTCTTTCTTTGAAATATCTACACAGTTAGCCTACATTACACAAATAGTTAAAAGCAACAAGGTACTATTAAGTTGACACAAGCAATACAGACAAGTTAGTAAAGAATTGTAGTGTTAGACACTGATAAATTAGAAAGTGAAGAAAAGAATGCTACTGCCATGACCTGCAACTACAGCAGTGACCAACTGTAGACACCTATGCCACTACTATTAAAAAAAAAAAAAAAAAAGGTGTGTTCAACTCATTTAGCAGAACAATTGGTACACTGTCTTCACAGCGCACAACATTTAGGAACAGATTTTGAAATCCTTATGGATTTCTATTTTCTCAGTATCAGAGAAATGCTCAGCTCTTCCTAAAATGGTAATTCTCCTCATTGGAACTAGTCTTTTCAACACAAGAACACCACTGGGAGACTTCAAAAGTCAAGTGGCCTGAGTGAAAAAGGAAGAAAGTATTTAAGATTTAAAATCTGCTGTTGCTTTCTTGTGGTCAAGAAGAAAACTCACCCTGAAGTGGGAAATGGTCCAGTGCTTTGAGCCTTTGTGACTATGCCCTCTTCTCTAGAACATAAAATGTCCTCCCCACCTTGAAGGTTTGAAACTGCACTCCTTAAAAACTTAAAATAGTATCTTACTGAGCACAGTAACAGCTCCTTAAATATAATTTCAGTGTGTACATATAATTCTATTGTAATGGTTCTTAGTTCTGCTTTTGCAAATGACTTAATTATCCTTCCTATTTAACTCAAATTATCTTAATACATCTTATCCATTTACACTAAACACTATTAAACATGATTAAGATAAATGTGATTAAGCCTTTCATCTAAGAATTACTACAACTTCAGAAAATCAATTTTAAGTTAGAGAGCATATTTACAATACCTTTAACGCAACCAACGTTTCAGCATGATTATTTATTATCAAACAGAATTACCTGCATGTCTGTGAAATTTGGTGCAGACTGAGTTCTCTGTAGTATTTCTAAATTTTGAAGAAGTTTACTGAGTTCCACAAGGTTTGACTGACAATGAGCAAGATCTAAAACATATAGAAGAAAAAAACATTAGGTGCTTCAGTTCAGATATTTTCTTTGCCATCATGTTCACCACTAGCATTTTATTGTACAACAAAAGTCAAATGCCTCAAATCCAATAGTAAAGCACCTAAGTAGTAGCCTTATTGTCAGAGATGCTGAGCACTTGTTATTTCTATGGCAGACAGCAACAAGATTGGACCTTAAAACTTCAGCATACTTTAATAATGATATCCATTAATACTTTTTTTTAATTTAAAAGCAACATCATAACACAAGCTAAGAGGGAAGTTCCTACTACAAGCATCTAGTTTATTACCTAAAGAGCTCCTCATAGGCACGTAAAGATGCTACTTAACCACTTCCATTGACTGTATGTTATTTCTTACCAACAAGACATTTTGCTAAAAGAGCAAGGCGCAAAATGGTAAAGACTAACCTTCTGCACATCTGTCCATCTCTTCTGAGTCCTGCAACCAGGCTGCTACTTTACTCTGTCCAGTAGTGCAGGTTGCAGGAAGGCTGTTACTGCAAGGTATAGGAGACTGCCATGGGAAGCTATTTTGTTGTACCTAAGGTATAATAAAATGCTTACACTTATTGTTGCATGTATTGCTCAGTCAGTGTAATCACCATATTTTTTGAGATAAAAAAAAAAGTACACATTGTGATTTCAGTGACGTCTGTGATTTGGCTATGTAGTCACCCATAACACAGGTATTTCTGCACTGTATGTTGGAGAATCAAACCAAGGACCTCACAAACCATGTTTGCTAAACACCACTTACAGAAGTTGTTGTTAAAGAGGAAGAAAACTACAGAATAACAGACAGATTTATCTCAGATGCAAAAAGCCAGAGCAAATTCTTCTGAAGACAATGAGTTCTTTGCACAATTTCTACAGCAGCCCATTAATGAAAGCTACTCCCAGCTTTTTGCTGGCCATCAGTTCCTCCAATGAAAACTCCTCTCTACTGGCACTCCGAGCAGAGCCCATTGAAATTCAGGCTTGCCCATGAACAAGTGCAGCAGGCATGAGTTTCCAACAAAAGGACACAACGTACCTTTCCATCTGGTACATTAGCAGCTGGTGAAGACTCTGTAGTCGAGGCTGAGGGGAATATATGGAAGCTGGCATCTCTCGGAGATCTCACAATCTCATTCTGACGGTACAACCGGTGGTGGCGTAATTTTGAAACCCATGCATCAAATGTATCCTGGGACTTTACCTACAAAGTAACTCATTATAAAGAAGCATTCAAAATAACACTCTTTCTCCCACAGCAGATTTTTCCTAATTACTATTATGTATTTCCACTGTGGATGAAAAGAGAATACATATTTGATGTATCACCTTCAGATGATAAATGTGCTCTTCCGTATCAAGATCTATTCTGCGAGCCTTCTTCTTAATGGACATAACTGATAAGCCTACATCAATGCTTCCATGTACTTTGCCCTTCTGTATCTGAAACCAAAAGCAGAGTACAAAATTGGTAGTATCATGTATTTCATTATATTTAACAGCAAAATACCTGGTACTGAAATGTTATCCATTTTTAGGAATATCTTATATAAAGATGCATAAAAGTTAAAACCTGTATTCAAACTAAAAACTTCCTCCTTTTATAGATGAGAAAAATATCTCACAACTGCAGAGCCAATTCCAAATGAAAAGTGTGATGGTTCACACTAGCATGTAACTACAGGTTAAGTGAGAAGCTGAGAAAATTAGACAGCACTTAGCTCCCTGCTGATACAGCTTGATGGTTATTGGTGTCTAATTTAATACTACCCTTATATCTCGAGTGCATCATAATCACTTTTCTGTCCTATCCACATACCTCAAAATAATCAGCTCTCCCTGACATCAAAATTAAAAAGGTACAATATATGCTCAGGCTAATCTTCCAAATATCTTCATTAAGTTAACTTCTATTTTAACTTCTAAAGTTAATTTCTATTTTTACAGAAGTAATAAAAGGCAGAATCTGGGGGAATATAACAACCTAAATCTTACATGCTTTCCATATTCAAATCTCTCTTTGAATCCACCAACAACTTTCATGTGTATGCTTGTGATAAAGGTGCCCAGTATGAGAATGAGCAGGTTGAATTCTAACAAATTTTAAAATAGTCTTCAGCTTTACTTACATCAATTGGTGACTTCGAATATTTTAATAGTCCATTATCCAGGACGAAAAACCTCTGAAAGTGGAAAAAAAGATTTTTTTTTTTCTTAATGATCAGATGCAATTTAACTGAGCATAATAATTTACCTACAAATGAAAACAACTTTGTAACAATTAAGGACTGTTTACAGGTTGGAAAGAGCATAAGTATGGTAGCAAATTTTTTCTTTCTTCTTTGATAACAATTATCTTTTAAGTGTGAAAACCTAGATTCTGTTTCCAACAGTATACTCCATGTTGAACTTTAGGAACATTAATAATTAAGGACATTTTTTCTGTTTTCCAGCCAATTCAGTAAGGTCTACTAGAAAGACAACATAGGCAGAAAGAGATAAGTCTTTTTCATTCTTTTCCTCCTGTTTTCTTCCCAAATAAGATGGTCATGTTTCAACATAACTGCTTGTCCTCCCTATCCAGAAGCTGACAAGCTTTTCCTAGTGCAAGATCTACATCCTGGAAGGAAGACCCACAGATGGATACTCCTGTGGTGTCCTGTGGACTCCAGCTGGGAAGCGATGCAAGCTGTGAGACACAGCTCTACCATCCAAAACTTTGCACTCACAGCAGACCTTCGTACAGTGAAGTAAAGAAGAAGCTGTGATTCATGCTCCTTATACTTTTTCTAGATGTAAGCTAGCTGAGGTAGTACAAGTGGAAATATTAGAGTATTACCAGCAACAGACCCTGGTCAGTGGAGGGTTTGTGTTTTGTACATTTGCAAGTGATACGGAGTGATTCACTGTATCTTCATTGGTGCAGCTACAAGGAATAGGCAAATTGAAGCGAACATGACAATGCCCATCTGCACAAGTGCTACACCTTTATTTTGCTGAGCAGCTTTTCTCTACAGCAGAGAGCAGAATCCTCAATTCACCATGCTTCTCCAACAATTAAAGCTGCTGTAGCTTGTGAATACGAGACAGCTCCAGCTGCATTGCAGACAAGTTAGCACAGCATTTGGCACACAGCATAAAGATGCAGCCTGGCAGAAAATGTATATGTTTACTGAGATTCACTAACTTGTGTTATCAACATGCAAGTAATACAAACTACTTAATATTTTCAGAGCCTACCCTAAAGCACTAATTTATGTTAATGATCTGGAACACAGCAAGTTATTACGCAAGACTCTTTAAGCTGTCTGATATGGAAGAGAAGGATCACATTTGCCTGATGTGAACCTGTTAAACTGACATTATGAGCAGGGTCAGTACTTGCATGGCAGAAAATATTTCCTAAAGATGCCTCTGGAAATAATGTCAGATGCACAACCAATGGTACCAAGGTCTGACACAGGGCGATGCAATTCCAGCTTTGATGGAGGTGTAGCTTCTCAAATAAGATGTCAAAACAACAGGTTGTGAATTTTTAGTTTTACTACGTATGGTCATCAATGGACTAAAGAAGAACACAGTGTTAATTCCCTATTTTTCAGCTTCTGTAGGCTCCATATACCAATGACCTTTTATCACATCACATTTCACAGCATACAGCATTTCAGAAGCAGATGAACTACTACATAAGTTGTACATGTTGTAACTGGTATGCTAATAAAGCACACTGAGAGCCATCAGAGTTTGACATACCCTGTTCAACAGACAGAGGATTCCATGGCTTTGCTGTCAGGTCACTAACAGCATACAATACAACCACTGTGGATTGTACTGTCTCTGGAACTCCTCACTGTGCTCTCAGCACAAAGTAGTGTTACAGAAATGGCAGGATATCAAGGCAATAGTTGGGAAAAAATGACTTACCGATGCACAGTTTCTAACCCAAAATTCAAAAGTTCCATTTCCTTAGGTGAAATGTAAGGTAGAGCATAGAGGGAGGCTGTGGAGCTAATTAATCACACTAAAAATTACTTATACAGATAACTGCTCTAAAGTCAGGATGAGAAAAAAGAACACCAGGCAGAATCCCCTTTACAGTTTATACGTAATGTTCCTACAGCAAACACTTGTGAAAGAAACAACACATCAATGCACTGCATTTTAAAGGAATGGAAGCAGTGAACTACCCCATGCAGTCTCATACATCAGACCAATTCTTGCTTTTTCACTTCCACTGTTTTGTTTTGTTTTTAAGTAAGATCTCCTTTTCTGTTCTTCAAGTATTTCACAAACACCAGTTTGAAAAACTGTAGTCTTCCTAGGCTAAATTCAAGTGGTACATAAATATTTGGATGCCAAAATCATAAATTCTAGCTAAGTAAAACAAAACAAAACCAAAACAAGTTTGATAGGTCAGCAGAAAAAAAAAAAAGAGAGTAGCAGACAGGTGGAAATCTTGTACTGATAATGCAGCATGTGGATACATTAGTATAACATTCACAAAGAATAGAGAAATTAGAAAAACTGTGTTTTATACTAATACAGTGTGAATATGAACACAGACCTAAGTTGCATTAAAAAATCAAAGTTAATATTTTACTAGGAATAAAAAAGCCATTTATAAAAGTAGGTTTCACTATTCTTCACAGTACAATGCTGTGTCCTAGAAAATGACCGTTCTTGATCTACTCCAATGTGCAAAATACAGGTAGTCATCAATAACCAAATCTTGTTAACAGAGAATTTAAAAGAAGTGCAATTACTATGCTATAAAATACAGGCAGAAGACATGATGAACACTGGGTTTAGGGCTAACAAAAAGTAAATGTTCATAGAGAAATGTCTCCACATTAACTAAATAGAAACAGAAGATTCAGGGGTTGGGTTTTTTTCTGTTTTATTTTGTTGCTGTTGGCATTTGTGATGGTGCTTTGTTAAGTCATCATGCTCCATGTCCACAAAGAAGATTACAGACACACTGACAATTCAGGGACAGGGATGAGCAAATCTGCCCAGCCAGGAAGGCTGAAGGGAAAAGTACTTCAGGGAATGCTCTCCAGTAAGAACTCCTCGGTTCACACCAAACCCTGCTCAGCTCTCATGGAGTCTTGGCTGCTTCCATGTAAACTCAATTCAAACTTACACTGCACAGGTATATTTTGTTATAATGTATTCAGAAGAATGAAAGCAATACTGGCTAAACCTCTTAAAACACAAGCCATCTACTGTATTATTTACACTGTCTGCCTGGATTTTGAATATAACATTACACAGCCAGCCCTGCAACGTTGAAGCCACAAAGCTGTGAGTGCAGACTAATTCTTTGTACAATCTGAAGATAAAGTCATTCACCGAAATTCAGGGCTTTTATTCGTCAGTCATCCTCCATTGTATTTTCTCTAGGCAAAAAATTTCAAACCGTGAAAGGAAGCAATAATCCTTTGACCGTTTTATGAGAACTTTACCTTGTGCCAACCTTTTAAGGGCCATTTTCTCTTTTTCAGCATGAAGCCTTCATGTTTGTCTGGCTTCTGTACATGAGTCTGGCCAATTTTCAGACCCTCTATGATTTCCCAACTGTCAGGCTCCTGGTGAAAAAGCATGAACACATTGATTAATAACTGTTCGAACACATGATGTAAAACTGCATTTATATGCAGCACAAATTCTGTAGCGCAAAACAAAGATTATCTCTGCATAGTAAGAGCTAAAAAGATTCAACAGATGTTGTAATTGGAGCATGGGCAGAATTTGCATGTTCAAAACGTAACTTTACTCAGAACGCTCCTCTAAACACAGTGAGATCATGAGATGAAATGTAGATATCTTACTGTTAAATACATGGGAATATATTAACAGTGTACTTTGTACTATGCCCTGATCATAAGAATATGTAAGCTTTCTTATCTCTAGCATACAATCTGCACTGATTTTGGATACTCCTAATTTTCCTTAAAATCTGAAGTTCAAGCAGAAGAGGTTGACTTGTGGTTGGTCTTCAGTGGCAGTTTATGAAGCAGAGCTGCAGAGGCTATTTGCACCTTTAGAAATATGTAAAAGGAAATTAAACTTTATCAAAGTTTCTTGTCATTCATTTTCATTACATTAAGGGAAAAGCTGTGGGAAGCTAACTAATTCTCTCTTGAGAAAAGAATATGAGCTGCATCGTTTCAGACACAACCAGCTGTATAGACCTTTCTGAGAGCCAAGCACATTCCTTGCACACAGAGCTTATTATGCATGACCACTTCCACAACTCAGGTCTGAGTTGTGAAACATCATAGTGAACAGCTACAGGACAACGCTTTCAGTGAGAAAGTCCTGCCTTTATTCACATCCCTTGCTGCTATCATAATCAACAAATGTTGCAAACTAGCATTTTCTCAGCTGTCACAACTCTCACTCATAATACATAAAGCGGCTGCAAGAGGGAAGAGGTCATCAAACGTTTGAAGAGAAACACAAGTTCTTCCCTCCATTTCCCATGAACCTGCTCACAGCCAAAAACCAGCAGCCTTGCCTGTGTTACAGAGCTTCAATACCATCAATGTCACTATTGTGAAAATATGATTATAAATGTAACACCAAACTTTATGTTTACAAACCTGAATAAGAAGTTGCTAATTAACAAGGATGAAAAGTTCTGTCCCAAGTAATACTTACTGCTGTAAGTTTTAATAAAAATCTTAGGCTCTGTTTAACTTCCCCTGCATAACTGCAAATTGAAACTATCACGGGGCCAGTAAACACAGTTCAAAAACCATCACTTCGATTTCACTGTGTTTTGAGATGATATTCTATTTCCATTACTCAGCAGGAAGTACATTTGCATTATTTTTTCCCCATGAAGCACTTGGCTCTTAAGGGGGGGAAATTAAACTATGAGTCCCCTGGGGCAAGCAGAGGATCTCTCCTCTACTCTGCCAACTGACTCCTGATATTGATTTTTCCTTTAGAAAATCAGCTGTGGGCATAAGTCTTTTATCTACTAGATAACATCAGTATTGATTACTTCTCAACCAGAAATCACACAATCTCATAGAGCTATTTATTTAACCGAAAGGCCAGATACAGGAAGACATAATAAGCCATTATTCAGTGCAATAACCATTAGCTGCCTTTTGCTACACCAGTGCCACAAGCTGTTATATAGCCACCCCTAACCATCCTAACTGCAGCTCACTTCATCCACGTTTATTATGATGAGATGTGCCAAGTATGAGGTACACTGTGCCACAGACCATTCTACTGCAAGAAAGGGGAAAACAGAGTGACAACAAAGGTTCCTCATCTGATACTGGATCATTCAAAGCACAGCTTTGCCGTTTCAGGACTTCTATGGTTCACAGCACATTAAGCCAACAGCAGCTCTGCATGGAGCAGCAGGATCAGGGAACACAGGCAGATCTTACAAGCCTAGCTCTGCATATGCCCCAGATACTGGCAAGAAGGGACTATTTTGTTGTTGTTGTTTGTTGGTTTTTTTTTTCCAAATAAGACAGGGCAATTTCACTTTTACATAGTTGAATAGCATGCTTCATGTTGAATATGTTTTCACAAGTATCACGAGTTATAGATATTTAATTTCAGTTTTTATTTTCTGCGAAGTATTCTATCACAGCACCCTCACCTTTTCAGAAACAAACTTGCTTTTTTATATGAAGTAACTTAAAATGAAGCCTTCTTTAATCAGAATTGGACTTATCTAGAATCAGCCCTTTCAGATTTCAGGAATTCAGCCCAGAGGACACCAACTACAAAGCACTGCATGTGAGGGTGCATCATTCAGGAACTGGTGCTGTTACCCCTACAGTTCTACTGAAGAGCTCAGCAGCGGTTTCAAGCCTCAAGAGACCACCTCAAAAATTGCAATTAGGAGGAACGTTACATGTATTTTTAATCAATATCATATTGATTAGTAGTGCTTTGGGATAGTTGGGTACAGAGACATTGGGTAGTGCTTTGATATGGTTGTTATTATTTTTTCTGATTGGACTGGAACACTGCTCAAAGCTCCTTCTAGCTCCATATTCTGAGATAGTCAGTCTTGCTTCTGGGAGACATTCACAGAATGGTGGAAAAAAACATCTCTGCCACCACCCAAATCCTTAATTTTGTTAATACAAAATCTAATAAAGATTACTAGCCTCCCTGACACCTAAGGCAGCAAACTGGCTCAAAATGCATTCAGTGGCAGAACCATAAAAACCAATAGCCTGGAGCTTAGTCAAACTACACTGTAAGAACAAAAGGAGAAACAGTGCCTGGATCCCAGCCTGTACTCTTGCTTACCTTGGACAGAGAGATAGGGTCTGTTTCAAGGAACTGCTTGCTTAAGGAAGGGTCTGTGCTTCCCGAAGAAGCCTTCCGTTCCAAAATATTAATGCTCTAAAAAAAAAAAAATAATAATAATAATAATAATAATAAAAAAAAAGAACAACAACACAAAAAATCAAATAATCCTAAAGATGACCACTTATCATTCAAAGGTATTTTTATGCATTAAAAATGCATATCGAGTAATGAAGGACTGATCACATACAATATAGTTTAGAATATATTAGAGAGCATATAATAGATAACAAAGCCTAAAACTTTACATAAGCATAGCGGCTGAAAACTTATATGAAGTACTCTCTATGCATAACAAAGTTCATCTTCCAAGGCAACACATCTCTTTCCTGCCTTTCTTATTACCAGCCTTAAAATTAATGACCCTGCTTGGCCTAGAAATGAGCGGGAACTAAAAAAAGACTGGCAAGAACTGCATTACTTGCCTTTCCTACAGAGGTTCAAAGTGTTCCCAGCTGGTCCTATCACCTTTTCTGCTGAGCTGAAACACTGAGTGTATATATCATACAGTAAGAACTGCCACACATTCACTTCCAAAACAAACCATTACAGGAAAGGCATTCCTTGGCTTTTTCTTACTGGCTTCTCAAGTCATGTAGTAACATGAGTACAGCTTATTCACAAGATCAGCCACAGGGTCTATGCTGATAAGCTTGCTGGTGAACATTAATCGAGCAAAACAACCTTCAACCATTACAGCTGTTACAGCCCATCTGCTCCATTTTGCATACTGTCTGATTGGAACAATTTTGCAACATCCCATGTTATCAGTTGGTGAAAATTGCTGGCATCTCTGTGGCATGATATGAAACTACTTCATTTCTAGCACATGTAGCACAATGATGGATTGTGGCAATTACAGTTCTCTGAGATATGTAGGTTTTTGTCTACTGAAAATTACAGTTAAATTTTTGTTCTCAAATCAGCTTCCTTATATTCACCAGAGAAGAGACTGGAGACACTACATAGGTACAAGCAAGTGTAGAAACTATCAGGGAATATAAAAATACATATAAACAGCAGAATAAATGTTATTATTTATACAGATAACTAAGTACATCAGGACCATATCTGAAATAAATTAGAATAAACACAGCTATTCAAAGAAATGCACATTTTACACAGGCTGCAGAGCAACTGACTGTTCTTTTTCAGTTCGCAACTGTGAACAAATGGAAATATATGGGAACAACCTCTACCATCAGAGGAGATCAATAAGCACCCCTGCCACAGTACGACAATAATTGGTGCTTATTTTCAGTTACTGTAATTTAATTTTACAGCCAAAAATAATAAAGGAAAAACAGCAGGGTTATGCTGCCCACCCCATTCCTTGGGCCAACAAGGAGAGCTTTGCCATCCATGCTTGAAGTTTACTGTTTTATCAGAGAGATACCAAACTTGTTAAGCCCAATGACCACTATCAGACAGCTGAGAAAATGGCTGTATTTTTTTTTAGCACAAGTTCCTACACTACATGTCGAACAATTTAATATATTTATTTGACCTTAGCATAATAATACTAAAGAAAAAAATACAACAAAATGATATGGCTGAACAGATTTAATGCTACATTTGCACAGAGCATCAGATTTGAACAATATACAACCAACATATGATCCTCCAAGGAAGGTTAAAACGCCTCAATTATCACAATCAGGACAACTCCCAACTTCCTCACCAGTTCTGCTTGGCAGGCAGGAACCACTCCATCTTGAGATGGAACAATGCCCAACACAGATGTTCTGAAGGCCTCGCATCTAGCAGCCAATGCAGTTTGTTGTTACATAACTGCTATTTCATTTTGTAAAATATTTAGAGTGGAGCAACCCAGCAGCCCCTGGCTTGCCAGAATTCCAGTGACATTTTCCACTGCATCATCTTAAAGCAAAGTTTGTATGTTTTGGTTCCTCTCTTTCTTTGTATTCTTAATCAGCCCTGTTATTACAGTTCCACTACAGTTGAAAAAATACGTGATTAGCTAACAGCACTTTAATGAATGCTGACATTTTCAACTATTTGTTTGGAATTCAGAAAATTAACACTTACAATTGCCTTCTTTACACTCCTTGTTTCAACAAACGTTATCTCATTTACTGTAAATACTTGCTTTCCGGTTCTTTTCTGTCATAGCCACTGTTACAATGACACAAAATCCTTCCTTTAAATCTGTGACACGTCTCCAGTATAGTATTAAAATACATCCTTTGGCATAAAATGTTTTCCATTAATTTAGGCTATATTTCTGCAGAATTACTGCTGGAAGTTACACTGTTGGAAGTTATTTGGCATTTTGAAAAGCAGCTCCTTCTTTGATGCAGGAATTTCTTTACGCATTTATCACAAAGAAAAAAATATTTAAATCTAAATGTTATCTTTTCTTTCCTTTAAACAAGAGAAACGGAATCAGTAAAGTGAGCTGCTGAAAAAAAAGTAAACAGGAAGCCAACATACGCAGAACACAAATGTTGATTCTGCCCTGTGTTCAGTTCACATCGCTTCCTAAACGAAGCTGATGGAAGAGAATAACGATGTGATGAAGTTTCATATCCTCACGTTCTCTAGAAGGCAAGAATAGATAGAAAATGTATCTTACAGCATCTTCTGCATATTTTGACTCTATATAATTGACACTAATATCAATTTTGTCTCCTACTGAAGAAGTCAGTGACCCATTCACCTTATCTACCCAAACAACGTTAGCTCGGAGCCTCTGGTCTCCATCAGGTCACAGAGGCTGCAGACCCTAATGCTTCTTAGGTGAATATGACTTCCCCTCTGGAAAAAAAAAAAAACAAAAAAACAAAAACCACAAAACATTCAAGTGTGCATTCAAAGGGAAAAGTAATTAGAGATAGGAAATCCAATGAAGGACACATCTGGCACTCAGGTCTCCATTGCTGCTTTGCTGCTTAATTATTTAATGAAATTAATAGCATTTAATGCAATGAGCTCTCTCATTCAGTTTATAATTTACAGACTTTCAAGAAAAAGACAAGCTGGTGAGGAATTTATCACTCACATTGGGCTAAGACTCTCTTTATTTCAAAAATAGGCACAACATGACAAAGAATTGGTGGGGGACTGTTCTTGCTCACAGCATTCAGCAGCCTTCAACACTCATAACCACAAGTTGTTAATTGACATTTCAGCATCAATGCAAAATAAAGCTTTTCTCTCTTCTGGTGGTGGTTTGTTGGTTGTTTTTTTGCTTTTTTTTTTTTTTTTTTAATCCAGAGTACTAGTCTGTGCATTTTTTTTAATCTGCTGTTTTCACTGGCATTGTTTTTACAATCTAGATACCCCTGCACAGACTTATGCCTGTATTTCAAGCCCACATCATATGAAGTGAAACACTTAATCACTTGCTGTCATCTAAAAACAGAGCATTTTCCAGTTACCTGAAACACAACAGCAGTAGCAGGGTAAATGCAGTTTTGACACCTTCTAAATAGAGCTGTGACAAATGCTGAGTTGCTTTGCAATATTACTCGCAAATGTAATAACCTTGAAATTTGCTTTTATCTTAGGCTGCTCCTCAGGCAGGTCTGACTTTCCTTTAGTTGATGCTAGAATAAAGACAAAGTCCCACATACCACAGAGAAGGGTGATCACAAAGCAAAGCAACCTTGCCTCTAACACTGTATCTCTCCTTCCTTTCTTTCTATTTTTTTTTTTTCATGTGAAATCGCTGTGGTGCTACAGAAATATCAAGGATTTTTGGTCTGCAGGTTTTTCATCAACTCATTCTGGAGTTCTATTTTTGCATTGTAAGGCAGTATGTTACACCAATGCTTTTAGCCTCTGGAAGCAAAGGATCCTTTACTTTTAGAAGAAACTTTCAATAAGCTGAAGAGAAGTTCTTGCTTCTCTGATGAGTTTCTTAGAGGAAGGCATTTACAGAACTGGGCAAAGCAGAGAAGAGCTGTTATCATGCCAGCAATCAGTTGGAGTGACAGTGGACTTGGGATGACTACCAAATCATAGACTAAGTCTTTAATGACACTGTTCATCTTTTACATTTTAGATTTTGACAAGCTTAACTCAAAAAAAGCACAACAGATAAACTGGCAATATCTGACAGAAAACGTAGTGTTCACTAAATGATACAAAGCTTTATTATGACCGTTGAAAAATCACAATTGAAAGGATTGATATTTCTCTAAACAGGCCCAGAATACATTTTATTAATGCTGACGTAGCTAGCAAAAGAAAATAAGGGGAAAAAAATCTCCATAACACAAGAAGATTTCTGTGCTGTACTCATATATTAACTAATTCAAGAATCCATGGTGATAGGCCTTCAGAAAATACATACGGTTTTCACTCTAATAAATGGTTGCAAACAAGTTTAATGTAAATCAAGTACCATAAAGTTGGACACTCATCTAAAAGCGCAAAATACTACTGAGGAAGAAAAACACAGTTTTGACCTAACAGCTTCATTACCAATGCTAGTGTATTTAGGAAAAAACAGACTCTGGTACAATAAATATTTTTACTATGGCATGCACTTATTTTGCCTAACACATTTCTGAGTCTTGAATATGGATCCTTCCAATCTTGCACAAGTATCTTGCAAACAGAAGTCTTCATACCATGCCTGCCATCATCTCCATTTTTTATTTTGTGTCTTTTATCTCCACTGAAGTAATGAAACCAAAAATCATGCTCCCTTTTCTCTTGAAGAAATCATAAACGTCACTTTGGAAGCACTGGACTTGTCAGAATTTGTGCTTGTGTGTACATACACATACCCCTCATCAATAGCAGCCCTTTAGGGATCAAGCTAGAAAATGAGTGCATACTGTAATAATCTCAGTGTTTGGGGACACTTGAGTAGTATGACTTCTATTATTTTATGTAAAAGCTGACCTTTTAGCTTATGTTGTCAAGAAAAGGGAAACACGCCTGTGCAGGCACAAGCACAGCAGAGGGGGAAAAACGAGACAAAGAGAGCAGGAGTGAACATGTTCTAAAAATAGTACTTTATCTATCTTAATTTGCATGGGTAATTGAGCTTTTATGCAAGCAATTTCCTGTGTTTTACAACAGAAGATAGCTACACAGGCCATTTCTAATCAAACTGACAGTCTAAAAAGAAATCTCTCCAGTGCACGCCTGTGAACCCCACCATGCCCCCATACTTCTGGAGGCAAGGTAATTCCAACAGCCATGTTGGTGGGCTCAGACACATATGGAACAACACTTTAGGTACATATACAATTACTCTCAACAACTGGATCACTTGGAGACAATTGTTCATGGATTAAATACACTGTAATAAGTGACAAATAAGGAATCTTGTAGGCCTGGGAGTTGTGATTTCAATGACAAGTGCTATATCATTGAACATTCACAGTGGTGGTCCTATATCTTCCTAAGTAACTCAATTCCTCCTTTCAGACATTTTTTTTCAGATGCTGAAATAAAAGCCACTGTCTTAACGTAACGAAGCTTTACAGAATGTGTTAAATGCAGAGAATTATAAAAAACCTACAGAGTAGAAGCAGTTAGCTGATTTAAAAATTAACTGCATGTTTTTGTTACCAATTTCACCACTTCATTCTTTAACTCCCTTAGATTAATTGTTTGCTCCAGTGAGTTACTGCCATCTAAAGTATTTAACACTTCCTGCACTAATGCTGCTTCATCTGTGTTATTCTGAAGAGAGTTAATTAGGAAAGAGACAGCAAAAGAGAATTACTTTACTGCAACAACAGTACTCGGAATTTACTAGCACCTTCAATTTGAAACTCTGAAAGAGATTAGCAATTATTGAAATAATTCTCACAAACTATTGAGAAGTTAAACTACTTGCAAAAGTCTACACTTTGTTGCAGCACAAAGCTAGGAATAAAGTTCACTGTTGTCAGGTCTGTATGTAACTACCAACAGCTATCTGTCTTTGATTTCCTTTCCTTTAAAGTCATGGAGCAACAAAACCAAATGAAATTTACAGGTAACCACAAGAATTTTTTTCACCATGTCACAACAGGCTGTCAGCAGTGAGCAAGAGTACTTTGAGCATCTACTCAAATATAGGATATAAAAGTCCTCAGATTTCTACATGGAATATATTACACTGTGCTGCAGTCTTGCGTGAGCAACAACTTCTGACGCAAACCAGACAGGCAGAAATGGTAAAAAGAGCCATCAGCCATATTGTCATTATTTATGAGTCAGAAATCTCTCAGACAAAAAAATGTCTTTGATATTGTAGCACTGATCATAAGTGTTCATAAAGAGAAAGCTGAGTTTGAGGAAATTCAATTTACTAAAAATAAAACCAAAAAAAGCAACCATGCAAGCATTAACATTCCTCTAGTCCTTTCATCAGCTCTCACACATCCAGTTATTCTGAGTGTCCCAGAAAAAGCATCAAATATGCTAAATGGAATACTGCAATGAAGAGATTTTTTCAAATGACTTGAATTGCCAGCAACCACGATGAACCCGTGTACGTGATGTGCCTCTTTCTGCCAACCTATACTATCAAGCAAAAGTTGCTGAAATATTTTAAAACAATCAATCAAAAAAAAAATTTTTCCTTCGTAGCCTCCATTTTTCAGTCTACACATATGGCTAAAATACAGTATCGTTTGAAATATGAAAGCTCTCCTATTAGAAAGATGACCATACAAAGCTAAATGCAGCAGAACTAAAAGCTATTCTTTCATGTTTGCTGTACAGTTTTGTTGAAACAGTAATGGGACAGAAAGCAGCAGAAAGATAACAGCTGATCATGCCTCCTTCCTAAAAGAACAAAAAGAAAACTGAGACATTAGAAAACAAGCCTCCACACTGAAAACAGCTGATGCTGCTAAATTCACTTTCCATCACATATTAGCCATCCTTTAGACAGCGGTAAGAAAAGACAAATTCTCATCTTTGTTCAAAACTTTATCATTATTATTATTATTATTTTTAATCTTCTTCTACAACACACACTTTGTTCTGTGACCACAGGTTTAATAGCCAGGGGTCAGGCCCCAATTTACTAAACTGTGCCATGTTAACCTTACAACATGCTTTCCTTCTCAGCACAGTATTATTGCCTACACATTGCAGTGAATATTTAACAATATAAACTGCAGTATGACTTGCGTACTTAGTCAAGAATTAAAATACAGAACATTCACAAAGACTTTACGATCACCAGACTGAATACATAACATATGCTTTTACAAACTGTAACTGCACTTCCTACAAACAGTGCTAGCCTTCCTGCAATTGATGGAGACTATATGCTCTGTTGCTCCTCTCTGCAGTGTTCCCATCATGACCACACAACTGCCCTTCAGCATGGCTCAGCCCAAGGGTTAAACAACAGAGGTCTGGCGTGGGCCTCTCTGATCATCCAAATCAATCAAGATTTTGTTGAGAACAAATGATACTCAAGTTCCTCTGACAATAGAAGTTTGATCCCAATTTTTTTTTTTTTTTTTTTTTTTTTTTTTTTTTGCTATTGCTGGCTTCAATACATTCTGTTCATTTATCAATTACGTAGTCATGGAGACTGCAAATTGGCAATGTCAAAGCTTTTGCTGACTGCTAATTCTCTTGGGTGATGTATATTGCACAAGAAAGCTACATTAAAATGCCAGCATTATATACAGCATGACATTTTCCACTCTCCCTGAGATGATTTATCATAGCCACGTTCACACTCATTCAACTTCCCCCACCATAATTTATTGGGAAACTGTTCCGTAATTGCTAGTGTGACTTTGACAAGAATTATATGATGGGAAGATTTCAATCATTAACCATCTAGAAATATCAAGTGTTATCCTCACATATGACAATGAAAGCCACATTGACACTGTACCCAGTCATATCACATTGAACATCCATACAGATTACCCCTTTTGAGAGGATGTTTTTTTCCCAGCTCCTATGAAGAGTTTGAGGAGGCAGTAAGAGAAAACTTTCAAGCTTTTTCAAAGCAAAAAAAACCCAACAGCCCCCACACCAAAATCCCCTACAGCCTCAACCACGATTACGTTCTCGGGAAATCCTACAAAAAGGAAAATGTGTACAAATAATGCCAGAAGTGAGGAAATAAATTAGACATACAGTTGTAACAGTTGGTGATAGTTGGTACAAAGAATACGTATGATTTGCTGCATCTAAAAATATGCAGAAAGGAACCACTGGTATGTTCATTTCCTTGGGTATAGTACCGTTGTATCTCATGCTGTATTGCTCACTCCAGCTGCAGAAGAAAATCGCTGATCCATTCATTCTCCTCAGTATTTCCCTGCCTCTATCACTAAAAACACCAATAGGAATGCTTTTCATTCTTTTCCTTTCCATTCCACATTTCCTAGATATACTGGCTAAGCACCTTCAGACATTATTGGATCCAAGATAGCTCTAGATGCACCATCACACCATCAACCTCTTCAGGCTATTTTAAATGCATGCTTCACATTTCAGTGACCAAATACAGACTTAAAGTTAAGCATCCATTTTATTGTAATGACAGGTATACCTTACACTACCCCGTTGCCATGGTAACAAATATGGTAGCTACTAGATTTATGGTAACACATTCCCAAAGGCAATTTTTTTTTTAATTCTCCCTTGCACAATCCTACCAAACTACCTAATTGCAAACAGTATTCAGAGAATAAGCAGCCCTCACAAGTCTTCCATTCTTTGGATTTAACTGCAGAATGATATAAAACATGTTTTTGTTTGGAACATCAAAGTTTCAAGTGAAATTAGCAAAAAAAAATTAAGGGGATACCATACAGTAACTAGAATGTAACCAAATACAGCTATCCCTATTTCTATACAACACAGAAGGGAAAGTATTTATCGTCCATCTTTTGCCTAAACTGAAAGGCATTAGAAATGATTTTTTAAAATTCCAGACAATTTCTGCCTGTTGACAAACACGTATCAGAATTCTTTTCACTGTTTAACAGTTAAAATATACTTGATGGTGACTTGATATTTACACTCAAAGCCATAAACGTTATAGCACTTGCCAAAATACTTTGTCTTTGGAGTTTTACAATTCAGGTAAGAAAAAAGAAAACTACTTCAGCAGCAGTGACTAAAAAGCATCCCAGCTGGCATTCAAGTGGCTGGGAAAACCCTCTTAAGCTACAGTCATTCAAGTAAACGTGTACCACACAAACACTAATTAAAGTTCTTTTCCTGCCTCTTTCTCTTGTTTAGCTGAAAAGAAGAAATTATTGCATTAATGATAATATTTCCGCAGTTCTTTTTAAACAGGATGGTGTTAACTTAAAATCTCATTTAGTATTTAAGATTCCCATTAAGTCCAAGTTTCAAAGTACATTTTTATTCTAACCAAATATTTCAGCCCCAAATATTGCATTTATTACAAGCTACGATCTGTGATAATAGCTCTTGACGCTTTCTGAAGGGCCCCTGATGCTGGAGCCAGACTGTACAGCCAGCTCACTAAAAAAACCCACAGGATGCACAGGTTGCTTTGAGTGGAAATAATACAACCCTTTCTGAAAAGGATCCTAGAGAAATAATGTGATTCATTCACATAGACAGAAGTCTAACATAACTGGACTGCTACTACATGACTTCAAGCAATCAGGGTAAATTTGTAGTAAACCAAATTATATTTAAAATCTTAAGTGCTTTCATAGCGGACTAACAATATAACATTTAAATAGAATTGAAATATAATCTTGAGGAAAGGTGACACATCTCTGTAGTTTAGTTAACAAAGAGATTTTTATATATAAAGAAAAACAGAGCAACTGTAGGCTCATACTGCAAAGAACTCTACAGGAATAAATAATTTCACTAGACATCTCATAGGTCAGAATTTTCTCCTTACCTGTCTCCTATCCCTCTGAGATGATGATGAACAGGAGGCACTTCTATGTGATGGAGTGGATGTTTTGTGAGCAGGAGATATACTCTTCTCCTCCGAACTCATCTTCGCAGAAAACTTGCAGTAATGATCTTGTGCTCTTATCATTCATGTACTAAAAGGCAAGGGATACTCTTCTGCATTCTTCTGTTTCACAGCTTATGGAGCGCCAAAAGAGTTTAAACTCAGCTGAATTTCACCTTAACAATGAAAAATGTGAGAGAAGGAGAATGAATACATTTTCACTTTAAAACAGTTCTGCAGCACAGACATCTGTTGACAGTCACTATTTAACTCAACCGACCTCCCGAATTTTTACTTCCTTTCCTCGTTCTAACCAATACAAACACATTCTCACATACGATATCTCCAAAAGCCTCAATGGAAAGGCCTACGCAATTCACAGCAATTCCCACACAAAGTTTACAATCTATTTCAAGCGGTCAATATCTCATATTACATGATATCTCAACACTATCAAGTAACTCCTCAGTAGCCACACCAAAAATGGATATTCCTGACGTAAGTGCAGCCCACAGGGAACCCACTTCAACCTGAGAAAAGTGTGAGGAGGAAAGAGTGGAAGGGAAAACTTCTGTACTGACCATTGCCCATCATCCATGCCCTGGCAAGGTACAGGTTTAATGTCTTAGATTTCTTTCTATCCAAATCTATTTTATTTAGCAATAAGTCCACCTAATTTTCCCCAGACTGAGTCTGCTTTGCCCACAATAGCAATCTCTTCGCCTTCATTTCACTCCATACACTTCTGCATCCTAGTTCCTCCTCCCATCCCACTGAGCAGCTAACCAGCCTCAGATAAAACCATTTCCTGGAATGATGCCTCTGCTTGAGACTATCACCCATCTTCCCCATTGCTCTTTCCCTAATTAAGAAACACGATGTCCTTCCAAAAATGCTGTTGTGACAGCACATCAAGAGTCTGCCCAGTACAGCTGGCTTTAGATGGGTATGGAGAAAGGTACTGTCATGCACCGTACTTAATGAGATCAGGACAAAATACACTAACCAACACTCAGAAATGATTGTGGGCTCAAGAAATTATGACATGATGAAGACACAGCTTTAGCTACTCCAGTCACAACAAATGGCCATGCAAGACTATCTTCCTAAACCCAGATGAGGCAGCTAAATAATTACATTTCATCTTGCAGCCAGCAGTTTCAGAATATTACACCCTAACAATCACTCTTTTGCTGGAGTCAAGTTCTGTGACGGCTTGTAAGTGACAGACTTCATGCTGTCATCTGTTATTCTGGCAACACTTGAAAATTCACATTGTTCAAGAGCAGAATCTGAGCAGTATCACAGGTCTTCTGTATGTCTTTTGCAGGAATTGTGTCTAATGAGCAAGTCATTTTAAAATGAAAAATATATAACAACTTCCCTGCTTACTGTACTGTGGAAAGTTAAATAATCTCAATTTATTATTTTGTCAGTACTTTCGCAAATGTGAAACTCATCCTCATCCTGTGGATGAATTTTCATCTCCATTAAGGAGCCTCCTGCAGCATTACAGACCCTGTGTAACATCTGTAGAGCTCACACAGAATGCTGATGGCATGGCTGGGAGGGCACAGCTGTTTCACCAGCCCATACAACCTGAATATCTTGACAGTTTTTCTGTTCCTCTCTGGTTGAAACACTCCTGCTAGAAGAAGTGGTCTAAAAAGATAAGCTGGATCTGCTCCAGCCAGCTACAAGACAGTGGTTGCAGGAAGTCACTAGGGCTCACCAACAATTTGACTTATTAGATGCAAAATGTTATTACTAGTAACAGAAGCTATTTCCAGTTCTTACTTAGTTTTGCCACTCTAAGCAAAATGACCTAGAAGTCCCTTGTAGCAGGGCCAGCAATGGAGTCAACCAGGATAGACAAAAGAGCTCCAGGAGAAAAGCTTGTGTAGCTGACCCCGGATCTCCCTACTGTCCAGCAAGCTTCCCCCAAGTCCAGCCAAGGCTTGCTGGTTAATCAGGCAGCAGAACTCCACCTGGGGCTGCAGGCACAGAGCCAGCCGCCAGTTGTTTCACTGAAGTTGGCTGACTGTAGCCAAGTCCCCAGGCACAGCAGAACTGAGCTCCCCTCTGCTCTGCTCCCATTCTGAGTCCTCTTCTGCACCCTGTTCAGCTACGGTGAGCCTCAAATGCAAAAAAAAAATAAAAATAAAAAAAATCCATCTTCCAGAGCTGCTGTAGTTCTTCACATTTTGCCACTTCTGTTTGCACGCTTCCATTTGCATTTGATTAAAATTAAGGTTCGCATACAATGGTACTACTGTGAATAGCATTTGTATTATTTGTATGCAGCAAGACAAATACTAAACATTTTTAAACATTTGTTATCAGGTCAAATTGTCTTTTTTTGAGAAAATATAACTCACTAAAAAGCACTGAACTTTATCTTCCATAGATGAAAGATGCACAAAAGCAAGGAGGGAAAGCCAACATTTGGCTCTAAGGAATAAATGAACAGCACTTGGGAGGGCATTAACCAGCAGTACAGTTTTTGAAAAAGAAGGCTGCACAACACATTTGTTTCAGGACTTCAAAGTGAAAGCTTAATGAAGCTGCTCTCAGAGAGGCCTTTCCTTCAGCCTAGCATGCTAGGAACTGCTGATCCAGCTGAACAGCATTTTCATATCCTACAAACATATCAGGCAAATTTCAGTCAAAGATGTGCACTGACAATGATACCTCAAGACCTATGCAATTTTCCTACAAATCAAAACTCAAATGATGAAAGTTAGAAATAGCAGAACGAAGAAATAATCATCACAGGTCACAAAGCTGTGCAGAACAGTCAAGTTATGAAACAGCTAAAAGGACAAATTTTCATTCACTTTCAGCCATGAGGTCACTGAAAAAATTTTTAGCAGAGCAGCCTTTGGGCAAATGAAAATCAAATGCTTTTTAAAACATCTGATCTTCACTCAGTTGACGTGTGGAAACATTTATATTTAGCTTTGGCACAGGATGACGGCGATCTGGCGCTTTAAATGTGTTTTTAAGGCTTTCGGGAAGCGTAGGTGTTGTTGTAAAAGCAAATGCAAAGCTAGCAAATGGTACTCAGCAGAAACAGTTCTGTACTCATTAGGTTTGAAATGCTTTAAAATTCTTTTTTTAAAAAAAAAATTATTGAAATTTTTTATTGAATTTGAACATTGAATTGAAATTCATTGAATTGAACATTCTATTGAAGCCAAATAAAATAGCAGTGTACACCTGAGCCAAACTCCTCTGATTCTGTGGTGCTCCCTAAGCACTTGGAGCCTAAAGCTAACCAGTAGCTCTCTCAGACCACACTTTATTTATCAATTGCTGTCCCTCACAAAGAAGCGTAATACTAAAATATCCCCGTCACACTTGAAGAAGCAAACATTGGAAGTTACTGCCCCTGTTAAATAGGGCAGGAAGCAAAAAAACCTGCTATTAGTTATACATGGAAATTTCTGATGGAGGAGCAGTTCAGGGTCAAAAGTTAAAAACCAGAAGTAGGATATTTGAGAAAATGAGCACTATAAGTACAAAAAAGATATTAATGTGAATTAGCAAGAGCTAGAACTGAGGTTTTTGCTATTGTTCTTGAACACTAAATGTAGATTCTGTTTCTCTCCATTGCTAGAGCTTATCTTCCAATTTTGGCTTAAAATTTAGGTAGCACATCTTTTTCAGAGCATGGTAGAAATAAATTTGTGAAACTGATTTAAAGAGATGCTTGTCTCTCTGTAACTAAGATTGAAGCAAACAATTATATATCTCATTTTTTGGTGAACCAATTCAATTTACCTAAACGAAACCAATGCTTTTGAAGCATTTTTCACTTTTTTTTTTTTTATCCATCACTGGCAATTTCGCTGTTAGCTTCACTGGAAACACAAACAAGCTGCATACTGTGGTAGAATATTTCTAGAAAATAAAGAAACCTAAAAGAACAACATTAAAAAACAATGTTGTTATGATCTTGCTCAAAGACACTGCGGATGCCCCATGCCTGGAGCTCAAGGCCAGGTTGGATGGGGCCCTGGGCAGCCTGGTCTAGTATTAGATATGGATGTTGATGGACAAAGTGTACAAACAGATGACTTGCAGAAATACAGAACTATAAATAAACCTGCATCTCACATTAATAGAAGTTTTCAATGGGTAACATCAAATGAAATCTTAATTCAAAAAAAACAGACTTCAGTGACAAATGCGGAGTTATTTCTCACTGGCTCTTTGCATCCTCTGATTGATTTCTTTTCTGCAAGAATGCCCAGAATGCTCTATAGTCTGTTTAATAACCTATGCACTATTGGCATAATTTGAGAAGACAATTTAGGGTGCAGAATGCTGCCTCTGAGCTTAAGTTAACTAAAAATACGCAAATATCGCTGGCATTCCTCCAACCAAAGCCATCTTCACACTGATGCATCAACACAGGCTGTGTTATTCATCAGGAAAGAGAAGGTTGCGTGAAGCGTGCATCTGTACAGCACGCTCATTCTGTTCTGCAACATCCAAAAGAGAACAACCCCTGTTGCCATGTTATGTGGGATACACAACCACCTGTCCCCCCCAGCCACTGATTTCCATGCGGGAAAATCCTAACCATGCTCCCCTGCTGCAGCACATAAATGCTGCAAACACAGGAATGTAATAGAAATAATATATCTCAATGCTGTGGCAATTTCATAGACCATTAATGGGAAATAAGCAATTTTTCTTTCTTCCCCCTCTCTATAAAATTGCAAATCAATCACTTTACAATCCCTATATGCGAGTCAGCCACATGAACATTTATGATTCAGCAGGGTGAGACGAACTCTGTAGCATGCTCTATGTGTACAGTGACAGAGTGAAAATACAGCATGCAATCTGATCAATAACCAAATCCAAAGAAGCTGAAAGATGAGCAGAGACCACATAAGTAATCTAGCAAACCACTCCGCAGACAATAGTTTAACAGCTGGCTTCGGTAAGAAACAGCCTCATTTGCTAACCTGAGGATAGCAGCTGTGCCACTCCTTAGTTATACTCTCTATTGATCCTTAGCCAAACAAGCAAAAATTACTGTCAGATCCTGCAGCTCCCATCCACCCATCTGAGAAAGTATTGTCACCAGACTGCCATCACTGCCAAAACATAGCTGCTTCTGGAAACATCAGAAATAGCTGCTCTGGATTCAAGGTTTGCTGCA